TATCATGTCATCATCTTCACCTGTGGGGGATGGGAGGCAAGCCAGGAACAGGGGGAGAGGGAAAGGACCTGGCAGTTAGGACCATGGCCAGTTCTGTAGTGCCCTGGCATGCCATTGAACACTCTTAGCCTAAGAAGCTGAAGAAAAGCCACCATCTAGTCCTCCCTCTTCACCCCCATAGCAGAATCTCCCTAGAGCAGAGGGCTGTACTAAGGCCCTAGCTCAGATGTGCTCAGAAGGTAGCGTGCCCTCTCCATGTGGCAACCAGACCTTCACAGCAGTATGATCTAGAGTCATAGTCATTTGTGGGGTTGTGGACTCAGAATCAGCTCAGTGAATGGCAGGTCAATGCATGGTCAGCAAGGAGCCCCTTGGCTGTGTGGCTGACTTTGCAGGAAACTGCCCTGTCATTAGCCAGCGTGGCCCGACCAGTGGTAGTCTCTTGCCACCTCAGACAGTTAGTTCCCTGCAGAATGTGAGCAAGGAATGGGTGCCCTAGATGGAGTGTGCCATCATCTTCCAGGCAACTTCTGGGTGCCCTGAGCTGTGTGACTGTCTGAGCCAAGACCCTGCTCTCCAGGGAGTGCAGCTGTGGCTACTGGAGTGCTTCCTTTTGTTCCTGAGTTGCCTCTTGTTCTTCCCATCACTGTACTCATGTCCTCTGGTGGTAGGAGTCTCCAAACCCTTGAGAAGTTTGCAGGAGGGAAACTACGCCAGCACAGGGTCTCTGCTGCTCTTGGGAGTATAGGTAAAGGGAAGGAGCTGGGGGCATTGGGAGAGATTGACTTGGAGCCAGGAAGAGCATCCTTCAGGATGGGCAGGCTGTGGGTCTGACTACCTAGAGAATTGAATGATGAAGAAGCGGGGATGACAAAGGGAAGAAGCCATGTGGAGATAGGCCTAGCACGGAGCTGCCTGCTTGCCTTAGCCATCTTCCACTTTTGCTGAGTGTTCGATGCGAAGGACTGGGGTTTGGTTAGACTGGGTCTTGGCTGCTACCCTGACTTAAAGACGAAAATTCTAGGGTGCTCGTGGGCCTTGGGGCTCTCTGTGCTGGCCTCTCCAGTTCCCTCCATACCATCAGGGAATGAGTAGCAGGGTGATTTGTGGCAAAGAGAAGCCAAATTCTTTGATGGAGTTCTGTCTGGAAGGTAGAGAGAAGATATGGCAGGGGCAGGGGCTCTTGGATCTGTCTGTTGTTTAGTGAGTGAATGGAAGATCTGTGTTGGGGTCTGAGGCTGCACCCCCTTGCATTCTGTGTGTGCATGGGATGGGTGAGGATGTAGGGTTGATGCTCATGTTTACCTGTATTTATGTGCCTATAGCTAGAGGGCAATTCCAAGGATGGCGGTGGCCCACCTCAGAGTCCTCAGCCCACCACCAACCTGGTACCCTCAGAGACTTCCCAGAAAACCAAGAGTCCTGAACTCACATTCACCATGAATGGCTTGGGGGCTACCACAGCTGAAGGCCCTAACGAAGAGACCCAGGGTCTATCCCGGAAGCGGGTAGCAAATGTGGTAAGGAAGGTAGTGAGCAAGGTGCTGCCTGGTGAGGAGCCTGGGAATGCCAAGGAGCCCCCAGGCCGAGGAGCCAAGTCTCCTGAGCACCCAGCTCGAGGCAAGAAAGGAGAAAAGGCAGCCTCTAGTCCCAAGCCCCCACCACCTCCTCCTCCTCCTCCTGCTCCACCAAAGCCTGAAACAAAAAAGGAGGCAGCCAAGGATGAGCTTTCTGTAGGTCTACGCAGCCTGATGTCTCGGGGCCGAGGCAAGGACCACAAGTCCCGCAGCAAACAGTCTCCTGGGAAAGGGGAGAAGACCCCCAACCAGGAACCAGGCTCCCCAGGGAAACCAGGCTCCCCAGAAGTGGTGGACTCCCCAAAGAAAACAGGATCCCCAGCCAAGCCTGAAACACCAGAGAAGCAATGCTCCCTGACCCCAGCACAAGAGCTGGCTGACCTGGCTGCTGGTCTGAAGTTGAACATCTTTGGAGAGCAGCCGGCCAAGCCACCAACCCCTGGTGTGCAACAGGAGGTACCTGAGTGTGCCACTAACTTCCCATATCTCTCACCAAGCACCCTTATGGTGGCTTCCCCAAGCCTGAAGGAGCCTTGCATGATCAGAGCTGGCCTAGAGCCATGTGCCCTCCTGTGGCAGGGACTGCATGACTTTCCTTAACCTAGTGCCAGAACCCACCATGGCCTGGCCTCTGGCCTGGTGGTCGGGTTGGGAACTGCTAACCAGCATGCTGTAGGCCTCGACATGAGAGTTGAGACTTAGTCCTCAGCTATACAGGGCCAGCTTGAAGTACCAGAGCCCAAGATAAGGATCAGAGTCTCAGCAGGTCAGTGCTGGGTAGAAACTGTTTTCATAAGTCAGGTGGCCCAGGCTCACACCCCCAGTTATGTCACACATCCCTAAGGGCCTATCAAGTAGAGAATTATTATTATTATTATTATTATCATCATCATTATTTGGTCTTTTTGAGACAGGGTCTCCCTGTAGCCCCTGCTGGCCTGGAACTCACTATGTATACCAGGCTGGCTTTGAACTCACAGAGATCCACCTGCCTCTGCCTCCCAAGTGCTGGGATTAAGGCATGTGCCACCATGCCCAGCTCGAGTGGGGAATTATAATGCAGGTCCTTAGTCCCTTTTCTGAAGCCCTAAGTATTGGGATTTTTTTTTTAATATTATACAGTATACATACAAACAGCTACCTGTAAAAAAAACACGAGTTATTTCTAAAGCAAACCCATTGCAGGATAGACCAATAGGTTTTGCCACCAAAATAGTTAAGAAAAATCTTTTGTTTGGGGGAATTTTTAAATCACAAACAAGGTGTAATATTTGCTTTGAAGGATTGCTGTGCCGATTAGAAATGATGCTTGTTATGTGCCAGGCCTGTTCCCTGCCACCAGGTGCCCATAAATAGTAGGATTGATAGTGCTGTTATTGACAGTTATTAATGACACCCCGCTTTCTATAGGCCTATCCTGCACATTCACTCTGGCAGCAGGACTCTTGGGAAGTCTTGTGCCTGAGTGGCTGATAGGTACATTGAGCCCCTTTGTATCTGGGCTACCCCATCTTCCCAGGAAGGTGATGACTTCTTGACTGGTCTTGAATTAGAGACAATTCTTTTCAAGCTTCTCCATTTTGGGGATCCTGCTGAGGTCTCATAGGATATGTGTTGGGGGGTAAACATCACCCTTTTTTCCTTAGCTTTCACAGGCTTCTTGTGGCTAGAAAGAGAGGGGCCAGGAGGATGCAGAGGGCATGGCCTGAGGGACCTTAAGACTCTCATTTCCTGCTTCCTCTTGGGAGCTAGCATTCCTGGAAGCTGCCTTACTCCATTCTTTCTGGGCACTGCAGGACATAGAGGAAAGCCTCCACCCTCCTGGCCCACTCTATCAGGGCAGTGCATTCCTGGCTTCCAGGGGAGAGTTAGCAGGGCCTTTCTGGCCAGTGGTCAGGACAGGAGCTGAGCTTCAGTCCCTCAAGGAATCTATAAGTAGCCAGGGAGTGTCATGCACCTGTCCTGGGCCACTGCCCTCCCCCTCCTCCTCTCACTGGGTAAAGTTGGGGGCTGAGACATGTCTTGACCTGGAGTTCAGTCTCTTGTCTTGTCACTGGGCCTGGAGCAGGAGCCAGAGGTGAATGGGATAACAGGGCCACTTGAAGCTCACAATGGTTAGGGAAGTAGGAAGAAATAAGCCCAGCCTTCACAGGCACCTGCTCTTTTTTCTCATATAATTTCAAAACTCGAATTAGCACGTCGCTTGGCTCCCTGACCCTGCTCCTCTTCAGCTTTGGGTCCCAGTGGCCTTCTAGGCTGAGAGTTTGGCTTGTGGTTCCCCAACTCTCCCCTGGGCCAGAACTAATAGTGGTTTAACCTTTAGACAGGAGCTGACTCTGACGTCCGGTTGAGTCCCGCAGAGGAGGCCCACCAGCGACTTGAGAGGATCTTCACAGCTTCTGTAATGCCACCTCTCTCGTGTGTGGGTTCCCAACCCTGGCCCTCCTCTTCTTGAGGCTGGCAGCTGGACTGTGCTTGTATGTGATGGTGGAGGGGAACCCCATGGCTGTCTGGGAACCCTCACAAAGGCTCTGTGCTTGAAGAAAGGAAAGCTGAGCTCTATGGAGTATTGTCTCTCCAGAGTCCTGTGACTACGGCAGGGGCCCTTGGTGACTGAGGATCCAGTCTCCTTCTCTAGCCCTGGTCTCCCACCTTGAGGACATGTATTGGTGTCAGGGCCCGATGGGTGACAAGACAGGGAATTGATACATCTAGATGCTCCTGTCTCAGACCAGGGTTGGGGGATTATCCCTTCTCATTTCTAACAAGCAATGTCCAAAGTTCTGCTTGCCATGGGTTCATGTGTCTGCCTGTGAGTGGCAGGCATGAACCAGAGTGTAATGGGGCTTGAGGAAGGTATCCTAGACTTAGGCTGTGGATGGCCTTGATCTGTGATAGTTCTGAAATATAGCCGTTGGCACGGGGAGTGGCACCCCTTGAGCATGTATTTAGAGAGGAGGGACAGCACTCTGTTAGTGTCTGGTAGATATAAAGGAGCTGGGTTGGGGGTGCCCTAGAAAAGAACAGGAGCATCCCAGGGAGCCCAGACCTTGGGTGTACTAAGGTGGCCAGGCTTCCCTGGAAGAGGGAGCCTAATTCAGGGTGGACTGAATAGCCAACTCAGGAGAGACTGGCCAGAGGCAGAGTGGCAGACACCTACCTGCCACAGGAATGACACACAGAGCCTTTCCTCTGGAGGGTCTAATGATTACAAGACTCTCTTCCCCATTGTGGTCTGGCCTCTCTTGCTCAGCCAGCACCCCAGTTCTGACCAGGCTCTCCTGACTTCCACTCTGCAACTTGGGCAGCTAGAGAACTCTGACTCACTGACCCAGGGGTGCCTGATGGAGGGGATGTGCCAGTGGTCTACCTGTCTTTATACTTCTCTCTTTCTCTCTCTGTCTCTCTGCTTGCTGCTGGTAGCTGGACCCTGAGGCCGCCTCTCCTGCCCCCAGCCAGGTAGGGTGCTCCTGCCCCACTCAGGAGCCCTCTGCTTCCTCCGGTGACATCCCATCCCCAGCCTGCACCTGGGCTGGCGTCTGTGCTCGGGCCTCCTGCTGGAGTGTAAGGCCTCTTTCCCTCCAGGTTCCCACTCTGTATTAGGGGACGCCAGGGGAGCCGAGGTGGTACAGCTCTGGCCCAGGCCCTTGGGCAGCATCACAGCCCCAGCTTGCCCTCACATGGCTGTCAGCCTTTGGAACTCAAGGGCTAGCTGAGGTCTTGGTGTTGCTGCCCTGCTCACTCTGGGTAGAAAAAAAGTAAAAAGAGAATTCTCTTCCTTGCCCTAACCCCAACCTGAAGATGGGATGGTCTCTGTCTCCACCTCCTGGCAAGTATTAGAAACCTATTCTCAGATCAGCTCAAAAGGAGTTACTGGTGGGCTTTTGATGTCACCCCAACACATGGCCATACAGAACATCCTGCAAGACAAGTTTTACCTGGCTCATATGATTTGGAAAAAAAAAACAAACCCTGGTGATATAAAAAAATGAAGTTAATTTTTTTCAGACAGGCTCTATGTAATCCAAGAATTCTTGGAACTCCTAATCCTCCTGCCTCAGCCTTCCTCCCTACTGCTGAGATTACAGGTGTGTGTCGCCATGTTTGGCCTCAGTTACAGTCCTTCAAATATTAAAAGAAAAAAAAGTTTAAAATTTTTCTCACTTTGGTAAATCAAAATATTGATAAACATATTATAATCAACCTATTAAAGGGCAATTTCCCTGATTCACAGAACCCAGAGATCTGGGGGCACTGATATGGCCCAGCCCTCCTACTTCATAGCTAGGAAAAGGGCTATCCTGAATTACAGGGATTTGTCTGAAGTCATAATCCAACCTGGAAGTAGGATTCAGGTCTCCTTTCTTTTCAAATCTAAGAAACATGACAAAGAGCATACGATATTTCTCCTTATGTGTTCTTATTTCCTGATCCTCAGCTAGGGATCAGCATCACAGGGTGGTGTGTCTGCCCCATCCTTGGGTCTCATGAGAAAGGGAACCTAGGGTAAGGGAGCTGGAAGCTGGGGATCCTCACAGTGTTGGAGCCAATGTGAACCTGAGGGCTGGTCTGTGCTTTGGGGGTTGCCAGCCTCGTAACTTTGCTGACATTTTCCCACACAGCATGAAGGAGTCTGATAGACCATGGAAGCTGGGTCCCTCTCTTGTCCCAGCTCCTCCAATGCAACTGCTTCCCAGCTCAAATGTCCTTAGGATTCGATAGATCCACACCCTAACCAATGCCTAGATTGCTTATTTTTTACTGGTGATTACCAGGAATCTTGGGGCCTTCCTAGCCCTTTCACACCCACCCCTATGCCCTTTCTGTGTGGCACACAAGTCCTTCCTTGTGTTTGATAAACCAGCTGTCTCCATGCCTCCAAAATCTCTGGCCATGCTGCCCTGTTCCCTTATGTGGAATTAATGTGTCCACTAAGTTTGTGCAACTGCTACCTTCTAAATCGAAGCATTTGCAGACTGTGACTTGGAGAAGCAGGGAGGCTACCATGTGCATCTGAGCACTGGCCTCTTGCCCATGTAGAGCATCTTCAGGCTAGAGCCCAGGACCTCCTAAAAGATCCTGCTGCACTTTGCTGCAGAATCCTAAAAGAATCCAGAAAATGGTCCTTCCTAGCTTATGAGAGGAGGCCTGTCATTTGGCATGACAGAACCCATAACTGTGGCCCAGGGTTCAGGGCTTTGGTCTGGATACTGACTTCACAGGCTTGCCAGGGACAAGGAAGCAGGGCAGCTGGAGGTAGAGCCTAGGGTCTGCTCTTTCTTGGGCATATGCTTCCTGTGTCTGTCCTGCTGGGCCCTCAATGGTGGTATAATCCCTAATCTCATGGTCATTGTCCCCAGGGACCCTGGCTTCCTACCCTCTTTCCCTGACATCTCTCACAACCCCATGTCCTGTGTTTACCACCTAACTGCCCGTCTTTGCCCAGTGGCTCATCTTGAACCTTTTCTTCTTTTGTCTCTTCACTCTTACCGCCTCTCTGTCTTTTAAACAGTGTCTGACTCTTCCTCCCTTTCTTATGATAGGCCAAGACAGAGGAGCAAATTGCAGCAGAAGAGGCCTGGTTTGAGACTGACAAGGTGTGGCTGGTTCATAAGGATGGCTTCTCTCTGGGTGAGTCCCAGGATGTCCGGTGCAGATGCCAAGACTTGACTCAGGGCTGGCATAGGGTGTGCCTCTCCTGGTGAGGCCTGAAATGAGCAAAGAGAGGCCGGTGAGCCAGTGGGGAAGAAGGCAGGACCAAGAAGGGTCTGAGTAGAGTAGCAGAAGCTTCCTAGGTCCATGTTCAGCTCTCCCTGCTCTGCAGCTAGCCAGCTCAAGTCGGAGGAGCTCAGCCTACCTGAGGGGAAGGTGCGTGTGAAACTAGACCACGATGGAGCCATCCTGGATGTGGATGAAGATGACATAGAGAAGGTTGGCAGGAATCTACTGGCAAGGGAGGATGTGGGCTGGGCAGCCCTGTCTCCTGTGGTGTATCTGCTACTTCATTGTCCACCTGCCTGTCCTTCCTCCCAGGCTAATGCTCCCTCCTGCAACCGTCTGGAAGATCTGGCCTCACTGGTATACCTCAATGAATCCAGTGTCCTGCACACACTGCGCCAACGCTATGGTGCTAGCCTGTTGCATACCTATGCTGGCCCCAGCCTCCTTGTCCTCAGCCCCCGAGGAGCCCCAGCTGTGTACTCAGAGAAGGTATGCCTCCCTCCAGACTACTATGTAGGTCCATATTACTTATGGACCCACCCACCACTCACCTTCCCTTTCCTGACTCTCTGCCCTTCCTCTTTGGTATCCACTGGGAACTTGTCCACTCTTATAGCTGACTATGGGATTCATTCAAAGGGTGGGGACAGAGGGATATCCTGCAACCTTTAATAGAGTCGAAGACTTGGCTGATATTTATATTTCCATGCATGATGGCCTTGTCCTCAGCGTCTCTGGCGATCAGGGGCCTGGCTACGAGCCTCCTCCTTCCCTCTGTACCTCTCTTGTTCAAGGTGATGCACATGTTCAAGGGGTGTCGGCGAGAGGACATGGCACCCCACATCTATGCTGTGGCCCAGACTGCGTACAGGGCAATGCTGATGAGCCGCCAGGACCAGTCCATTGTCCTTCTGGGCAGTAGTGGCAGTGGCAAGACCACCAGCTGCCAGCATCTGGTGCAGTATCTGGCCACCATTGCAGGCACCAGTGGGAACAAGGTGTTTTCTGGTGAGGCAGGGGCAGCAGGGAAAACTGAGACTGGGTTCGGGCAGGAATGTGGGGAAAGGATGACTCTCCTAGGTGTTTGCTCTTTTCTGCCCTGGGTTCTCTATCCCCTTGAACTCCTTCCACCCCAGTCCCTGGGCAGTTGTTTTCTGGGTCATCTGGAGCCCATGGCTTGGGTTTAGCTAGCCCTGGCTTTCCTGATGTCCCCTGGGCCTGTGCTCTGCAGTGGAGAAATGGCAGGCTCTGTACACCCTCCTGGAAGCCTTTGGGAACAGCCCCACCATCATGAACGGCAATGCCACCCGCTTCTCCCAGATCCTCTCCCTGGACTTTGACCAAGCTGGCCAGGTGGCCTCAGCCTCCATTCAGGTGAGGGGCATTTCCCAGGCCTACGGAGTAGAGATGGACCCCGATTTCATGCCCTAGAAGTCAGTCTCTTCAGTGTCTCATTAATCTGGGACTCTGTCCTGATGAAATGGAGGTTCAGCATAGGTGGGGCTGGCCTGCGTTGTCATCTTGCCCTCCAGGCCTCCTGTTCAACTCCTTTCTGCCTTCCAACCCTACTGCTAAGGCCGCTGCTTGCCCAATTTCTGAGACCTATGCTTAGGGACTTCTCTCAGGTCAGTGACACACTTGCCAATAAAGTCAGTAAAGCCCAGCCACACTGATCCCCTCCCATGCTGAATGAAATTTCTTTCTTTTTAAAAATTATATTCATGTGGAGGACAGAGGACAACTTGTAGGAGTTGTTTCTCTCTTCCCGTTATATGGGTCCTGGGGATCAAATCTAGGTTGTCAAGCGTGACAACAAGCACTTCTCCCCACTAAGCAATCTTGCCATCCCCTAAATAGAATTTCTTGCCATAAGCTTCCATCTAAGAAGGCTTGTCACTAGGTGCTGGGCAGGATAGTGTACCCTCCCCCAAGAGTTGGGGCCTATATTCTTCCACATGGCTCTGGTTTCTGTCTTTTCTCATTCTGGAGTAACTTGGTGACTAGCTGAATACCTGGGGAATAAGATGTCCTGATGGATCCCTGGGCCTGGAGGATCAAGGCCTGGTTCACCTGCAGTGGGGTAGGAAGAACATGACCTCCTTCCTCACTCACACTGTGCCATAGACGATGCTCCTAGAGAAGCTGCGTGTGGCCCGACGCCCATCCAGTGAAGCCACTTTCAATGTTTTCTACTACCTGCTAGCCTGTGGAGATGGCACACTTAGGTGAGATGGGACAGAGGGTGCCCCAGGGGAACTCTGGACTCCAGCCTCACCACCTTGTAGCTCACTGTGTCCTATGTCCACTGCCCACTATGTGCTGCCGGCTGGGTCCTGGGGATGGTAAGACAAGCAATACTCAGGTCCTGCCATCCAGGAATTCCTCGGTCCCAAGGCTGGGGATCTTGCTCTGTGGGAGGAACACAACTGGTGTTCAGTGATATCCCTTGCCCAGGAAACAAGATGTGGAGAGGAAAGCTCACCTGGATGCAGGTGGTGGCTGGCATACATGCAGTCATATAGCTACTGTGGGCTAGACTGGAGTCTGCCCTGGAGTCAGAAATCAAGCCTTCCCCAGCTCCCTCCAGCTGACCCTCAGTCCCATTGACTGCTCCTACCGTGCTTTTCAATCTCTACCCTCAGACTGGCTGCCTGCTCACTGGACAAGGACAGCCCATAAGGCCAGCCAGATGACTCCAGGCATTCTCTTCAGCTCTTCTCATAACAAAAGCATAACCTGGTCTGGCTAGACTTGCCCTTCAGCCAGGTTCCCTGCTTTTTGCCAGGGGTCTAACTGGACCCTTTCTCCTAGGGAGGCGGTGCCCTACTCGGGCATCTAGTTCAATTAGGAAAGGTGGCAGAACTGGCTGGATGTGTGCGGTAATGGGCAGAAGCTGTGCTTAGTTGTCATGCCCTGGGAGGGGGTTGGCCTGGGGACCAAACACGATACTGATGCCTCATTTGTACCCCTAGGACAGAGCTCCATCTGAACCACTTAGCAGAGAACAATGTGTTCGGAATTGTGCCATTGGCCAAGGTGAGGGTTGGCAGCCCTAGACCCTGGGGATAGAAGTCCTCATTGTCTAGTGGTACCCTTGAGTGGTCTACTCCAGCCATGCACTCCCAGAGGGCCCAGCAGTATAGGGCATGCTGGGAGGGAAGCTCTCTGAGGTCCAGAGCTAGCATGTGTGTCTACCCTTGCAGTCTGAGGAGAAGCAGAAGGCAGCTCAGCAGTTCAGTAAGCTGCAGACAGCCATGAAGGTGCTGGCCATCTCCCCTGATGAACAGAAAGCCTGCTGGCTCATCCTGGCTGCTATCTACCACCTGGGGGCTGCTGGAGCCACCAAAGGTAATGTACAGCCTGCTCTGTCACCCAGAAGGCCTTGGAGGTTCCTACCCATTTGTGGTTCATTCTTAGCCAACACAGACTTAGCTGTTACCAGATGCCCCCCTCCCCATTGGCTTATTCCTTGTCTCAGTTCCCCATTCCCCCCCAACCCCATCAAGGGAGAAAATTAGAGAAGCATCACCTCCAATGATGGCCTGAAGCCTGGCCTTAGCTGGCAGGGCGGGAACACAGTGAGGAGTGGGTGGCTAGGGGGTAGGGTTGGGGGATGGAAGGTACTCCCTCAGAGCATCTCCTAGAATGACTTTCCTTTTCATTCCCTTCTTGATAGAGGCCCTCGAGGAGCAAGCCGGTAACTGACCTTGGCCCACCTTGGGCTAAGGGACTTGGGGACTTAGGGACCTGCCTGCCTGTCTTGGTGCTTCCCTGGGCTCTCTGGTGGCCAGACTCATTCTTTCATAGCACAGGGGACTGGTCTAAGGAGAAGCCGCAGGGGTAAGGGTAGGGGGAGCCCACCTGTGGGGCTTTTTGGATTTCCCCAGAATATCTGTCTCTCCTTCCTATTTTATATCTGGATCTTGGAGTCTCTTCTCAGGGAGCCCTTCATGGGCCTCAGGTTGGAGAGGATGGACTTGATCCCTGGGCCTTCCTAAGACCAGTTTCCCTATCTTCCCATCCACTGGTTTGGTAGTTGCTGCTCTTCCTCTTGCATGTCGGGGTGCAAACCACTAGAGGGCAGCAGGCACCTGGTGATGGGTGGACTTTAGCTTCTGCCCTTGGGATCCCTGCTTGAGGATGGCTGGGGATTCAGTCAAACTTGAAAGAGCTGTTGGAGATTACCTTGATGGGCCATGATTAGAGTGCCTTTTCACCCCTTTCACCTCCAGCCTTGGAAAAAGGAATGCTGGCTCTGAACAGCACTTCCAACTTTTGCTCTATCTTCTTGGAGATGTGAGAAGTTCTGGGCTGCTCAGCAGGGGTTGGGAAGGGTTGGTGGTTGTGGGTGCATGCAGGAACAGGTGTCCGGGTATCTGATCTCTTATGATACCAACAGGTGGTACCTGGGCCAAGAAGCAAGCACTCTGGGTTAAAGAGATGGCCTTCAGACCTTCTGGGCAGGAGGGTGCGAAGGCATGTGGTTGTTCTTGTGCTCTATGGGGTGCAAGCCCAGGTTTTCTCTGACCCTACTCAGCTGTGTCTGCAGATGAAGTGCTCTGGGTGTTGAATAGCGTTGCTCTCTCCTCAGGGTTTCCAGTATTTTCGTGTGTGTGTGTGTGTGTGTGTGTGTGTGTGTGTGTGTGTGTCTATGTACATGCAGTAGGATATCTTTGTAGGTCTCTTTCTCTGTCAGTGTGATAACATCCACAAACATATTCCTTTGAGACTGTGTGTTTTTGTCTCCAGGGCTGAATGTGGTCGAATTTTCTTGCCTGCTCATCTTCATAAACTCCCACCTCCCACAGTCCCTTCCCGCAGGCCTGGCGGGCTCAGTTGATGACTGTTTGCTAACACACTGTTTTTCTTTGCATGCTGCATGCTGGTCCTTTGCCTTACAGAAGCTGCTGAAGGTAAAACCTTGTTTCTTGTTAGCTTTCCCTAATTGCTGTGATTAGACACATGTTGGCTCAGGCACATATGTCTGTGTGGGCTGTTCCCTTTCCCCTGTGGCTCTGTTGCCTCCCCACTGTTGAGCTATCAAGGTGTCTATGGTCTCCCTTAGGGTAAGAAGAGGGAGGGGGGGATCTTAATGCATCCAAGGAAAGGACAGGTGCTAATACTCTCTCATGCTTAGTCCCCCTCAGGAAATACAAGACTCCTGTGCTCACACTGGGTGGGCCTACTCATCCTCTGACTCTGTCTTCTCCCAACTCAAGTTTGACACCCCTGGATTAATGGGATTTTTTTTTTTTTTTTTTTTTTTTTTTGGCAGCTGGTTGGGTGCCCTCTAGTGGTAGTTTGTGAAGTTACTGCCTCCTTTAGGACCTGCTCCTTTTTTTCTACCCCCAGGGGACTCTGGAAGAACTAACAGCTGCTGGCCGTTCTTTTCCCATGTGAAGCCCATGTGGTGTTATCAGGGCTGTTTTTTAGCTCCATAAGATGTATACTCCCAGTCCTATGGGGATAAGAGCGCCAAAAGCACAATGGTTCTCAGTTAGCCTAAGAAGAAAGACCTGAGATGCTAGATCTTTTTTTCCACCCTGCAGCTGGACGTAAGCAGTTTGCCCGCCATGAATGGGCCCAGAAGGCTGCATACCTGCTGGGCTGCAGCCTGGAAGAGTTGTCCTCAGCCATCTTCAAGCACCAGCTTAAAGGCGGCACCCTGCAACGCTCTACCTCCTTCCGCCAGGGCCCTGAGGAGAACAGTCTGGGAGAGGGCACAGGTACCTGAGGCCCCTTGGGAGATAGGTGGGATTGGGAGGCCTTGCTTGAGACTTGTTGCCATCCTGGAGGTGGAAATACTGGAGTGAATAGATGCCTCAAGTGTAACAGGCCAACCCCAAGGCCTCATGCTGACTGAGTGGGTTCTCAGGGATGAGAGCTAGAGCTGCTCTTCTTGTCCCACAGGCCCCAAGCTGAGTGCCCTGGAGTGCTTAGAGGGCATGGCATCTGGTCTCTACAGTGAGCTCTTTACCTTGCTAGTCTCCTTGGTTAACAGGTAAGTGTCAGGCAGAGCCCAAGGGTTTTCCACATTGTGTTTTGGGGTATATGCCTTTGTGTGTATGCTGGCTGAGACAGGGCTGTCCTCTATCAGCAGAGGGTGCACTGTCCCTGTGGGCTGTGAGCTAGGTACAGGGAAGGGGATTAGTGGATTATCAGGGGTAGAGCAGTGGGGCTGCTCTGTGGTAATGCTCTAGCCAGCTCTGACCCAGGCTCTCCCCTTTTAGGGCTCTCAAGTCCAGCCAGCACTCGCTCTGCTCCATGATGATTGTGGACACACCAGGCTTTCAGAACCCTGAGCAGGGTGGGTCAGCCCGTGGAGCCTCCTTTGAAGAGCTGTGCCACAACTATGCCCAGGACAGGCTGCAGAGGCTCTTCCACGAGCGTACCTTCCTGCAGGAGTTGGAAAGATACAAGGAGGTAGCTGCCACATGTGCCCTACCAGGACCTTACCCACCACCCCTTCTAGCCCAGGGAGGACCTTTGTACATATGGAACACTGATTCCTAGCTCTCTACTTCCTTATCCTTTCTGTTCTCTGTTTTCTGGAGGAGGATCTTGTCCTGGTCTTGGCCTTGGCTGCATTTTTACTTTATGGACAGTTTGTGCTCCAGAAAACTGAAGGCACATTCAGAGTCCCTGGGGAGCTCTCCTTGGTCCCCACTGAGGCCCCCTCCTCAGTCTATAAATTGTCGCAGTGCAATTCTTGCCTCTGGGTGGGCCTCTATGCCTCCCCTTCTCCCAGTTCCCTGCCCCCTGATCTGTTAGGATTGTCATTAGTGACTTAGAGCCCCTCCCTGAAGGGCCTCAGGGATGGGATGAGTTCTGGAAATCCTTCCTCCTATGGAGCAGAGTGGAATAAACAGAGGAGGATATTTATCTTGGATAAGAGAAGACCCTGAGGAATGTGACATTGTCTTCCAGAGATGATTGTGTGAAATGAAGGGTAGGCTTATTCTGCATTGCCTAATCAACTGATGCACATGGCAGCAGAGTGTAACTGTAGTTTAGAATGAAAAGAGATTGTAAAAATTTTAGCTTTCCAAAAATACCAAGTATTACCTTGGGAGGTGGTGAGCAGTTTGTCCTTTGGGATACTTTAGGGAACCCATACACGGGATGGAGCTTTGGACTTGCTGTTCCTAGAGAACCTACCCAATCTGCTCCAAGGGCCCCACCCCCTACATGGCCCCACACTCATCACTGATGCACTTTCCCTCCTAGGAGAACATCGAGCTGGCATTTGATGACTTGGAGCCAGCCACAGATGACTCCGTGGCTGCTATGGACCAGGCTTCCCATCAATCCCTGGTAGGAATGCCAGGGAGGCCTGGGCTAGATTTGCTTCTTTCCCATTCCTCTGCCTCTGGTAGAGTTCTCCCCACTGGGGCTGCCACTGTGGGCTGAGGGAGGGTCACACTTAGATGCCGTGCACTACGTGACCACAGGGCTCTACCCTTTGGCACTCAGTTTGGCTGGGAAGGTAACACCATTCTACTGTCCAGTATACCAGCCAGGTGGGAAGATGTCCTTCCTCTCTTGCCATCTGAGCCTCAGACCCTGTCCTGAGGCTAACTGAGCCTCTAGTATATCTGCCAGGAGCCCTGGTATCTACTCTGGGAAGGGAGTAGAGATGGGGGTAAGAATCTGAACCCAGAAGACATAGGCATTCCCTCCCACTGTCCCCAAGAACAGGACAGATGCAACCTAGCAGTATGGAGGTGAGCAGGCAGCATCCTCTTCAAACAGGGAAATGGTATCAAGTTTAAAATGCCCTGAGGGGGGCAGATATGGATGTAAGCCCTTACCCCTCAAAACCCTGGGAAGAAGCTGTCACCCTTTATACTCATGTCTCAGGCACCTTGCTGCCTGGTGCACTGGCTGGGCTAATGAGCACTTGGCATTTAGTGATTGTCTTCAATTAGGGGACTTGTAGCCAGAGCTTTTTTAGAGAGTGACATTTTTGCTGGACAGCAGAGTTCTCCCTGCTTAGATTCTTTGCAGTAAGGCTAAGGCCCTGCTGGGCTAGCACAGGTGATGAGGCACAGGGAGAGGAGGAAGGGAGAAGGAGTACCCCCAGTGACAAATGCTTAAGGTGCCCAAGTACTAAGGCTCCCCAGGGAAGGTAGATTCCTGAACCTTTGGCATCTTCTGATGAGAGAAACTTGTCTGTGTGTCTCACAAGCAGCAGGGGGCAGATGTGTGTTGGACTGTAAAGCCGCCATTCTTTCTCTTAGGTCTGTATTTGATGGGCCAATCACATCTCTGGGGAGGGGCCCTCCAGTGCCACTTGCCATGTGATGGCTTTGTCACTCCTTCCAGCCACCAAAGTGCTACAGATGCGCACTTGGCCCTTGGCCTCCTTCCGTTTCTAGGGAGTGAGGACAATACGGGATTGACCCAGGCTCCAGTGCCCTCTGAGGAAGAAGGATAGAGGTGAACCTCTGAGAATAGGCACAGGTCAAAGAAGCTTCAGTTTAGGGTGCCTTTGAAGCCCAAGTCCCGGCAACCATCTTTTGTGGGTTCTTTTGAATTCTCAGTTCCTTTCCCATTGATGCCCATCTTCTCCACAAGGTGTCAGCAGTGAGCAGCCCGAGCTATGTTTTCCAAGCATGAGTGGTTGGGAGGGAACTGCTCCTTTCACACAACTCCATGAGGCAAAGCTGGATCTCTCCCCTTCTCCATAGGTCCGCTCCCTAGCCCGGGCTGATGAGGCAAGAGGCCTGCTGTGGCTGCTGGAAGAGGAGGCGTTGGTGCCAGGGGCCACCGAGGACACTCTCCTTGACCGCCTTTTCTCCTATTATGGCCCCCAGGAAGGTGACAAAAAAGGTGACATCCCTGGAGAAGCCCCTCTCCTTCCAAAGAGCCAGGCTATGTATCTGTTCCCTGACTATCTGAACTTTGCTTTACCTACCCTCAGGCCAAAGCCCCCTTCTGCGCAGCAGCAAACCACGCCACTTTATCCTGGGCCATAGCCATGGTACCAACTGGGTGGAATACAATGTAACTGGCTGGCTGAGCTACACCAAGCAGAACCCAGCCACCCAGAATGCACCCCGACTCCTGCAGGATTCCCAGAAGTAAGGCCATCACTCCCTCTGCCCTGTCCCCACAACTGTTCTCTGGGCTCCCTTCCCCTAGAGATGTGTCAGAAAACCCTCACCAGCAAGGTAGACAGGCTCCAGTCCCTGAGAGGTAACAGCCAAGGCCAGCTGACCCTGAGAATACAGGAATAGCCTCCTGAAATAAAGATAGGAGACAGATATGGTTGGAGATATTTGTAGTTTTCAATTTGACCAGCACTCCCACTCTTCAGAGAAGGCAGAAAGGAGTCTTAGAAATTCTGAAGTCAGCAGAATTAGTGGTGCGCACCTGTAACCTCAGCACTCAGCACTCAAAAGTTCAAGGTCACCCTTGCTACACAAGACCCTGTCTCACAAAGTTTTTTAGAAACTTAAAAAATATTTTTTTGTATTTATTTTTATTTTATGTGTGTATGAGTGTTATGTTTGAATGTGTGTTAAGTGCACCCATGTCGTGTAGTGACTATGGAAGACAGAAAAGGGTATCAGATTCCCCTGGAACTGGAGTTATGGACAGTTACTAGCCACCATGTGGTTGCTGGGAATTGAACCCAGGTCCTCTGCAATAGCAGCCAGTGCTCTTAACCACTGAGCCATCTCTCCAGCCCACATCACAAAGTATTTTAAAAACTTTGCCAGGTGTGGTAGCACATGTTTTTTAATCTCAGCATTCAGGAGGCAGAGGCAGGAAGATCTCTATGAGTTCAAGGCCAGCCTGGTCTATATAGCGAGTTCCAGGCCAGTTGGGGCTATAGGGACACCCTGTCTCAAAAAAGGCCAAAAAAAATTTTTTTTATCTTTAAAAAAAAAAAAAGACTCTTTAATCCCAGTTATATAAACCATTCACAACCATCCACAGCCATTCATATGCCAAGAATTATTGGACAATTCCTCTGTGCCGGGGCCTTATAGGTGCTAAGCAGTTAGCAGTGAAGACAGCATACACCCCAGCCCCATGGATTTTATATTCTAATGGAAGACAGATAATAGGAGGTGCAATAAGTAGATTACCTAATGTGCTGAACTCTACACTAGACACACCTTCTGTGCTCCCTGGTGAGGAAGAAGAGTGAATTGATCCCTCTGCCCAATCCCTGCCTGTTCCCTGGGTTTTCTTTTCTATTGTCCTGTAGGGTGTGGGACATATTGCCCCAGTCAAGATGCCCCAGGCTGCTGGTCACAGCCATATTGTGGGGAAGAGGGGTGGTAGGAGAGGAGTGGTTATGATTCTTTTCTCTCTGTTGCTATCCTCCTGCAGAAAGATAATCAGCAACCTGTTTCTGGGCCGGGCAGGTAGTGCCACAGTGCTCTCTGGCTCAATTGCAGGCCTGGAGGGGGGCTCCCAGCTGGCCTTGCGCCGGGCCACCAGCATGCGGAAGACCTTTACTACAGGCATGGCAGCTGTCAAGAAGAAATCACTGTGCATCCAGATTAAGCTGCAGGTGGTAAGTGTCTAGCCTGGTCCATTTCTGCTGACAGGCAAGTATTCAACACACTCATGGTGTCCCATGCCCACTCAGAGTCCCACCTGCTTTGATCACTGCTGCTAGGGTAGCCTTTGTAATGTTGCTGCTGTGACTGGCCAGCCAAGCCTGAGGAGGGCCTAGTTGTCCAGGCTTAACATATCGTGGCAGGTGGTGAGCCACCTGCTACCCTGTGAAGAGTGGAGATGCTGGCACCAGGCCCTGCTCTCCAGGGTACTGGTTTTCAGAGTCCACTAAGGGTGGTCCCTTTCCCCTTGGCAGGATGCCCTCATTGACACCATCAAGAGATCCAAGATGCACTTTGTGCACTGCTTCCTGCCAGTGGCTGAGGGCTGGCCTGGGGAGCCCCGATCTGCCTCTTCCCGCCGAGTTAGCAGCAGTAGTGAGCTGGACCTGCCCCAGGGAGACCCCTGTGAGGCTGGCCTGCTGCAGCTGGATGTGCCCCTGCTCCGTGCCCAGCTGCGGGGCTCCCGCCTGCTCGATGCCATGCGCATGTACCGCCAAGGTGAGCCGACTTCTCTCTTAGTACCTGGTGTTCTTTCCCAGAGCTGGCCCTACCCCACCCTGCTTCCCATGGAACCCAGGAATCTGGCTGAGTGCTGCTCCTAATCTGTTCTGGAACTGACTTGAGGTCTCCTTTCTGTTTCTATCTGCTCCCCAATATTCTCTCTTCTCACCATACCCAGCCCAACTTGTTGCTTTCTTTCATTCCACTTTGTAACTCTTCTTTTCCTCCTCCTTTTCTCATTCAAGTTCTCCTGCACATCCACACCCCCACTACCCCATATGCCCTATCATTTATTCTCATGGTCCCCCCAAACTCCTCATCCTTAGTGTGGGAGCCCAGCTCTGTCCTCAGTGGCTGACAGCGGACTCAGTGCCCTTTTAGCACTATCTGCCAAGGGGTAAACCAGGTGCTAAATCTCTGGGAAGCCCTTAAAATTCCCCAGAAAGGTCAGTCAGACCCTTTTTATGGACCCAGAGGAAGTGACTAATGACAGAAGTAGCAGTTACCATCCTTACAGTATTTATGGCTCACCAGGTGCTATGCTCAACTCGTTCACACATTAATTCACAACAACCCCTTGTGGTAGGAACTATTATCATCCCCAAACAAAGAGAGAGCCTCAGAAAGGCTAAGTAGCATAACCAGGGTCACACAGTGACTGAGCTGGATTCCAGCCAGGCAAACTGGCTCAAGTCAGGTCTCTCCTGTAGAGTCTTCTTTGTTAGGGATTGCCAAATTTCTGGATTTTTTTTTTTTCCTCACCTAGAAGTTCAGGCTGGGGCCCACCCACCTATAGACTTGAGGTATCCCCATGAGTACTGTCAGTTTTCCTCAGCAGCCAAAGCCGGGAAACAGGCTCCTTGCTCTGCTCTAAATAAATCATTGATCTGTCCCCACGTCTTGATATGGAGTTGGTGTTTATTATTTCAAAACCAGATTGTTACCGCTCTGAACCAAAATCAATGTGCTTTACTCAAACAAGCAGATCGATGAGGCCAGAAGCAGCAGCCCCCCTTTCCCTCGGCCCCCAGCCACCATCGATAGCGCTGATGATTAATTAAGATGCCAGGCGTCCAGACCTGCTATCCCAGCCCATCAATTTAATTGCAATTCAGATACAATCAATAGCTCACTTTGTCTTGGCCCCTCAGCGGCCCCCGCCTCCTGTTTCAATTATCAGGCACATGCATCAGCTTCATCTCCTAGTTGGAGGGTTTCCCAGAGCTGGCTGGCCAGAGCAAACCCCCAGCTGGCTGTCAGCAACCCAGGTGTGAAGTCTACCTCTGCCTCAGCTGCAGTCTTTGTGACCTTGGGCAACCATGTGGCTTCAAAGCTCAGGCCTCAGTCTCCCTGGCAGAAAGATGAAGCAGATCCAGTCTGGGATCCCTTTCTGACTTGAATTTTGTATATCTGGAGGAGTGGACCTTTTTGCTCTGTACTGTGGGCTCTGGTGAGATCAGTATAATTGGCATCACCTCCTGCTAGCCAGTATTCTGACCTTGTTCCAAGCCAAAAGCCATTTCACCCTTTTCCCGACCTCAAGCCCAGACACTCTTTAGGAAAAGAGAATTTTTTTTTCTGGTCTTTTTGAGACAGGGTCTCCCTGTGGCCCCAGCTGTCCTGGATTCACTGTGGAGACCAGGCTGGCCTCAACTCACAGAGATCTGCCTCTGCCTCTCTGCCTCTCTGCCTCTCTGCCTCTCTGCCTCTCTGCCCCTGCCTCTGCCTCTGCCTCTGCCTCTGCCTCTGCCTCTGCCCCCCCGAGTGCTGGGATTAAAGGCTGGGCAGAAAAAGAATTTTTATTTTTTTATTTTTATTTTTTTGAGACAGGGTCTCCCTGTAGCCCCAGCTGTCCTGGGACTCACTATGTAGACCAGGCTGACCTTGAACTCACAGAGATCCGCCTGCCTCTGCCTCCAAGCGCCTTTTTTTGATCATTTACCCTAAGGCTCAAGGTCAAGGTGGGGTAGGGAAAGAGCCCTTCCTTCAATCCTCCTTCAGGAGACAGAAGACAGGGAAGTAGCCATCTCACTGAGTGTCCACCAAGTGAGCTAAGTTGTGCTTTCTACATTATTTTCTCATTCATTCTCCATGGCTGACATGTGGAATAAGGGCCAGGGCCCCTGTTTAAAGGTGAAGAGGGAGCTAGAGTGTAGCTTTAGTTCTTGGTAGACCATGAATGAGGCCCCAGGTTCCTTCCCCAGCACCACAAAAATAAGTAAATGAATAAAAAGAAAATGAAGCTTAGCTAGGATCAGGCATGATCAGGGATGGCTGGAGACAAAAAAAATGAAACTTAGAAATGGGGTAGCTAAGGTCAGCCTTTGCGTTTTTCCTCAACTACTCTGCTATCCTATTATTTTTCCTTATTGAGTCTTCAAGGCTTCCATCTCTGTATTATCATAGTCATGGACTTGGAGGGCTAGAAAGTATCCTAGAGGTCACCCAGACTCCCCAGCCTTCCTTGGATTAGCTATCCTCCCCACTCTTCATTTGCAGGCCTCAGTGAGTGGGGGCTCTCTTCCTTCTTGATCAAGTAGTGCATTCCATTTTAAGCCTTCCTATCCTGCTGTGGAGGATAGGAAGCCTTCCTATCCTGCTGTGGAGGATGGGTCTTCTCCATTCCTAATGCTCTGTCCCTCTACCACACCTTGTTGCCCCTCTACCACATCTTCTTGTTCATGTGATACGCCCCTCCCCCCACCCCCTGACCCCAGTTGCATATTGGGGTATGCTGGGAGCAGGTAAGGTACTGATGAATCTGGCTATGGGCCACTCTCTCTGCAGGATACCCGGACCACATGGTGTTTTCCGAGTTCCGACGTCGCTTTGATGTCCTAGCCCCACATCTCACCAAGAAACATGGGCGAAACTACATTGTGGTGGATGAGAAGCGGGTAGGTTTGGATCTTCAGGCTCTCTACAATCCCTATCACTCATTTGGAGCCCTCTGAGAAGCTGCTTTTCCCTGGACTCATCTGCCTGTCTTTCCCTAGTGACTATAGACTAGCTCTCGCTTAAGGTTTCAGAGTTCCAACCAAGCAGGGCTGGGATGGAGACACAATACTATGGCAGTATGGAGAAGGTGGCCTAGAGCATCTGCTGTAGGGCCTGGAGAGGAGCCACTGTTATTGGAGGCCAGAGATGCAAGTGTCTGCTGTCTAGTGAGCCAGATAGTCATACAAGAGTGAATAGGACAGGGCCTCCCAGGTAGCTGATTAGGACTCATGTTTTGGATGTCCCACTAATGATACCTGGGTCCCTCAGCCTTAGCTTTCATGGCAGGATCTGGTTCCTGCAGATGGATACTGTCCAGTCTCCTAGGAGGAGACTGAGATGGCAAGTCCACTTTGGTGCCAGGAACATGAGGCTGTGGGCATCTTATAGTCTAGCATGGTGAATTCATGACTACAGAAAGGGTATCATTCTAGGCTGCCAGCTTGACCCCCAGAGGCAGCTCCTCAGGCAGCCAAAAGGCTCCTTGAGCAGAGGAACATTCCTTCCCTGTGCATTGGCCTGAGCCTTCTAGCTTGACTCTGAAAGCACCTCAGACCATAGGAGGCTTCAGGCAGGAAGGCCCATGGCATCCCCTAGTCTACCCCTGTGTGCCCCACCCCTTGCCCCTGACTCACATCACATTCTCTAGTCTCAGGCCTGTCAACATCTCATCTTCCCTCTTCTCATTGGCCCTTAACATCCATCCCAGCCTCCCTGTCATGGCTACAGACTGTACCTGTCTCCCTGGAAATACTCCCCTTCCCAGATCGTCATTTCTCACAGAGCTGCTCTGATCACAGCATCCTACCTGTAGGTCAACCTCTTCTCGGGACACCTGCTCTTAGACTCAGTGAGAACTTTCATGTCTAGACCCATTCCTTTCTCTCTGCTCTACCAATTTCTTTCTGACTTTTCTTTCATTTCTGTCTACCCACCACTTAGCCTTCATCACCCTCAAGTCTTCTGAGCCTCCTAATAGTACCCATCTTACCCAATCCCCACCCTGAAGGCCCAGCCCTTGGGTGGCTGTATTCTTCATTCTGGACTCCCAAAGGCTATGAAAGAAAGCTATACAACTGTGTAGACTTGAGTTCCTACAGGTTCGTGGTGTCCAACTCTTGGGATGGCCTAGCAAGTCTTCTATGTGTCCCTCCTTATACAACCAGATCTTCAAGTTCCTTGCCTGCTAGTCCATTTGCTACCTTTCTTCTCAAAAAAAAAAAAATTTTTTTTTTTTTGGTCTTTTTGAGATAGGGTCTCCCTGTAGCCCCAGGCTGGCCTTGAACTCACAGAGATCCACCTGCCTCTGCCTCCTGAGTGCTGGGATTAAAGGCATGTGACCACACCCAGCTTTTCTCCTCAAATTTTACCCCACCCCACAGTCCCAGGTCATCTTCCCAGCAGATGACCTTTACTCCAAGTTAATTAAATCAAGACTTCAGTGTCTTCCATGATCTTTAAACTTCTCATCTGCCTGTTCCCCTTCCTGTCTTAGTGGGGGAAATGACCCACATTTTGTGCAGTTCCTTCCTCTGTGACTTAGAATCCATTCCCAGTGCCCCTCCCCACACCCCCAGAGACCCCATCTTTGATAGCGCTTTCTTTTTTCTTCATCAGCCTCTCCTGGCTCATTTCTCTGTTAGAATGGTTCTGCAGACATGCCACCAGACAGAAGCAGCGTGTCCTGCATCTCACCTCTCTCATGCTCAGGACCATCCATGCTTCTCTCCTGAGCCTCTACCCCATTGTCATTTATTCTTCCACCACAGCTGCCTGGCTCCCACTCTGACACCCTGGGTCCAGTCTCCTAGTTCCCTGGAGCCACTGGATACTTTTCTTGATTTGTTGTTGTTGTTGTTGTTTGAGACAGAGTTTCTCTATATAGCCCTGGCTAGCCTGGAACTCACTACATAGACCAGGCTGGTCTTGAACTCACAGAGATTCACCTGTCTCTGCCTCTACCTCCCAAGTGCTAGGACTAAAGACATGCTCTGTAACTAAAGACATGCACCACCATACCCAGCTGTTCCTTGAATTTTTTTTTTTTTTTTTTTTGGTCTCCCTGTAGCCCCAGCTGTCCTGGAACTCACTATGTGGACCAGGCTGGCCTTGAAGTCACAGAGATCTGCCTGCCTCTGCCTCCCTAGTGCTGGGATTGAAGGCGTGTGCCACCACGCCCAGCTTTTTAAATTACTTTTTATTCTGTGTGTATGCGTATATTGTTTGCATATATGTAAGTGCACCCATGTCATACAGTGCCCTAATGGAGAACAGAAGAGGGCGTCAGAGCCCCTGGAACTGGAGTTACAGATGGTTGTTAGTCACCATGTGGGTACTGGGATTCAGACCCAGGTCCTCTGCAAGAGCAGCCGATTGTCTTAATCACTAAGCCATCTCTCCAGCCCCTGTTCTTTGAATTCTCAAATTCTGGACAATGTGGGACTTTGGGGACAGCCCTGTTATTTTTGAAATGTTTTCTGCTGCCTTCTTTGCCACCATGCCTACTTTCCTTCATCTCTATTCTTCTCACTCCCTCTGAGGTCTCTGCTCAGTGAAGACCTCACCCCCTCAATACTCTCTCTTGGCTCTGTTTTCCATTCTACTCCCTCTTCCTGGACAATTTCTTTCACACCCATCACTTCAGTTACCACATATGTATTGACAACTTCCAGATCAATGCCTCAGCCAGACCTCTGTCCTGAGCTTGAGGTATGTACCTCTCTCTAGCTCTTCCTGAACTGCTTTGTGTTCTCTCACCCCCAAACCCAGCACACACAGACCATTCATTGTCTTGTTCCCCAAGCTTGTTCATTTCCTGCCTTGGTGAATGACCTCTGCAAATTTTTTTCCTTCCTGAGAGATCACTGCAGAAGGCCCCAGGCACAGAGGGCCCCACACTGTTGCCCACCTCTCTAGCTGCATGTTAACTCCCTAGTTTCACTCTAGCAATTGGAAGCACTTGGCGTTTCCTCAATGCACTCTACCATCTTGTGATCTCGGGCCTTTGCTCAAGCTGGTGGCACTCCCCCAAAATGCCCTCATCTCACCTCTGACTACCTGGTAACTAAATTCTCAGCCCAAGTAGCACTCCTCTGGGGTCCCTCAAACCCTACCCCTCCCCTGACTTCCATGTCTTTCAAATGTACTTCACTCGTCTTGCTTCCCAGCAAGACAGTTTGTTCCTTTTGTAATCATCTCTGGTCCCCAGAGTGGACACAGTGGCCAGCACATGGAAACACACAGAGGGGCTTGTGGAATAAATGATGGGCTACCTGAAAGGAGCAGAGGGAGGGCTGGGTGAATGGAGATTCGAGCCTGATGGCAGCCTCTCTCCTCAGGCTGTGGAGGAGCTGCTGGAGTCCCTGGACCTGGAGAAGAGCAGCTGCTGCATGGGCCTGAGTCGGGTGAGTTGCCACAGGAGGACAGCCTGGTGTTAACTCCCTGGTGGCGTTGGTCACATGGCTGGCCCTCCCTTTCTATTCCCCTCTACTCAGTCAGACTTTGGAATCTCCCTGTGCTCCTTCTGAGTCTTGCTCCCCAGCTCCCCACCAGCCACTGAGGGGCTGTCCTTTCTTCAGCCAGCAGCCAGCAGGTAGATGTTCCAGTTTCAGCAAACTTAACTTACTCACCTGGATAACCGGCTGGTTCAGGACTGTGAACACTTCTGTGATGTCAGAAGGGAGTGGGTTGGAACATGGCCCTGAAATGGGCCTGAGGCCTGTGTGGGGAGCAGGGAGCTGAAAGGCTGGGCTTGGAGGAAGGGGGATGGGAAAGCCAGAGGCAGTAGGGATAGTGCTCCAGAGGGCTGCCAGGGTCCAGAAGAGCAAGCAAGCAAGGACGTGATGAAGCTGAACCACCACCACCTGCCCACAGGCCTGATTCCTCACCGTGGAGCATAAAAGGTGGGCACACTGGCCCTGGGTGCTAGCATGCACCACTCCATACCAAAGGCCAACTGAACAGTCTTCCCACAGGCAGGGAACCCTGCTCATCTCTCCCTAGGCTGGAAAGCTTGGATAGACAGCATCTACGTATGTGCTCCGGGAACTGGCATGGAGGGAGGGCAGGGGGCAGCCATAAAAAGGGTTATGGATCTGTCCCTCTGTCAGCAGAGAGGAAAGGGACTCTGGGTAGCAAAACCCCTTGTACGATGTGAGATGGAGGGAGGTGCTTGTCCTCTTTCATATATCCTGCAGGTGGAGTTAAGGTCTTGTTTTTTTTTGTGCCCCATGAACCCCTTCCCCTCCATCCCTGTGTCTTGTGTCTTCCCACTGCTGTCTCTGGTGTTCTTGGCTTTCTCTTTTCCATTGAGCCCTCAAAGGCCATGCTATCCTCTGTTCATTGCTTTCCAGTTCTGTTTTTTTTTTTTTTTCCTCTTCCCTTATTCTTTGTCTGTTTAGTTCTTCTCTTTGATGTCATTTTTCTGTTTCTTGTCTCTGCTCAGTCTACTTCATCTGGCTCACCCCTTTTTTCTCTGGCTACCCCTCCTCCAATATATGCCTCTTCTTAGAGTAGAGGACTGCCAGCTGGGCTTTCTCTCTGGGGCTACCTCCAGCCAAAAATGTTCCTTCAGCTGCTCAGTGTCTCCCAGGTTAGTTTACATGCAGGCTTTCTCCTGAGCCCCTGCCCCTCTAGCAGGCTGGACCACTGCTGACTGGCACTGGGATGGCATTCCTCCAAGCCTGTGCCTAGTTTCTCAGACATGTCTCAAACAGGAACTGGCCTATTTGGGTTGGTCCTCTTTTGGCCACATCTTAGACCCCTTGCTATCCTGAATCCTCCCATGTGCCCAGCTGAGGCAGGTGAGCTCCAGGAGCCCATGGAGCTCAAGGGGAAAGGGGGAAGGTTGGATGTATACTTTGGGAGAAAAAGCTTCAGTTCTGCAGAGTGTGTTTAGTACTGGATGGTGAATAAGGACTGAGTATTCATTACTGTGCTTCAAAAGAGGGGTCTTCATCTTAGACCAATGGGCCCTGAAAGTTCTCAGGAGTCTGAGCGCCTCCTAGCATTGTAAAACTTGTATGATTGGTATTTGAAGATGGAGATAGCCCCAACCTTTCACCTAATACTCAAAAGAACTTTAGAAAATTTTTTGTGTGTGAAGCCGGGCATAGTGGTGCACGCCTTTAAGTTCCAGCACTCCAGAGGCAGAGGCAGGTGGATCTCTGTGAGATCAAGGCCAGTCTGGTCTACATAACAAGTGCCAAGTCAGCTGGGGCTACAGGGAGACCCTGTCTCAAAAAAGACCAAAATTTTTGTGTGTATGTGTGTAATATATGTGTAAATGTGTGTTCACGTGTATGTATGAGTGGATTCTGGAGAGTGGAGGCCAGAAATTGATGTTAGGTGTCTTCCTCCATATTTTCCACCTTATTTTTAAAATTATTCTTAAAACTTTTATCACATTTGTTCATTTTGCATGTGTGTGTACATGTATGTGTATGGACACACCCATGTGCCCCACTGCATGTGTAGAAGTCAGAGGACAGCTTGTGGTAGTCAGTTCTCTTATTCCACCATGTGGGTCCTTGGGATTGAACTCAGGTCCTCAGGCTTGGTAGCAAGGGCCTTAACCTGCTGAGCCATCTAATCAGCCCCCTTAATTTTTGAGGCAGTGTCTCTCACTGAGCCAGGACTTGCCAGCTGACTAGACTGGATAGCCAGCAAGCTTCAGGTTCTGCTTGTCTCTGCCCCATGTTCCCCACCCACTCCCACCCTCATCCCCTGCCTCATGCTAAGATTACAGACAAACACCACTATGCTTGGCTTTTATATGGGTGCTGGCAGTCTGAACTCATACTTGTATGGCATGCACTTAACTGCATGAGCCATCTCCCTAGACCCCCTCAAAAGGACTCTTCTCTAATGTTCAAGGGGTTTGAAGCTTGCTTCTGCAGGCTTTAGACCATTCTTTCTCTTCTCATTGTGTTTCTGAGTCATTATCTCTGTGCTGACACTACCCTTCTTCCCTGATCAGATAGCTGTGTTTGCTAACCAAGCATGTTTGTCTGACCTAGGAGCCAGTGGTTCACATGTTATGGGAAATTAAGGCATGTGTCAGGCTGAAAACATATGGGAAATCCCACTTTGCCTACTTGTAGGACTTGGGGCAATTATCACAAAGGACTGAGCTGTTTTTTATCTAAAGTCAGTCTGGTTAATGAGGCTTCTATGATGTTGCAATAGACAATTGTTCTCAGCATGTTTGGGCTCTCTCCCTACTTCTTCCCTGAAGGAGGCTTTGAGATCTTGCACCTATGAGGACTTTATATAACCTGTGTTCCTCTTGATTTCCCATCTCTGTTCCACAAAAGGGAGTTTTCTTCTGTTCTTTTTTTTTTAATTTTTATTTTATGTGTATGTATGCCTGTATTGCCTGCATGTATGTAAGTGCACCCGTGTTGTGCAATGCCCGCAGAGGTCAGAAGAGGCTGTCGGATCACCTGGAACTGGAGTTACAGATAGTTGTTAGCTACCATGTGGGTTCTAGGATTCAAACTCGGGTCTTTTGCAAGAACAGTCAGTGTTCTTAACCACTGAGCCATCTCTCCAGCCCCTGTTCTTTCTTTCTTTTTTTTTTTTTAATTACATTTATTTATTTACTTGTATGTGAATGTGGGTATGAGTATACCATGGTATACATGTGGAGGTCAGAGAAATAACTTGTGGGAGTCAGTTCTCTCCTTCCACCCATGTGTGCCCTAGGAATCAAACTCAAGTTGTCAGGCTTGAGAGCTGAGCCATTTCACTATCCCTGAAAGGGAGTTTTCTGTGCTCTGTGCCAGGTGTAGTGGGCATCTATCTAGAGCTCCTTTACTCTCTGAAGGACACCAGAGTCATCATTCCCCTGTCCCACTTCTCTTAATGAGCCACAGCTCAGGGCAGCAAAGAGTCACAGGAACAGCTGGGTGTGGGGGTGCCCAGCTGGTTCCTCACTCATCTACCCTCCAGCCCCCAAACCTGTATGACGGGTCCCTTGCTGGGGCCAATTCCCATCCACCTCACCACCTTTTTCTTGAGAGGGTGAAACCTGGGGGTGGGGATAGGGGTGGGGTACTGACATGAAAGAGGAGATGGCTGGAATGAAGCTGAGCAGGAGGGTGAGAAGCGGGGCGGGGTGTCCCATCTTCCCCCCCCCCCACAGCTTCCTGGATCTTTTCACACCCAAACATATCATCATCCTTTTCACCTGATCCCAGATACCTGGAACTGTGCTTAGGCCCTGCTGGGCTGTGGCACAGGGAGTTTGACTGCATCACAGATATTGCTGAAGGGCATCCCCTCCCAGTTCGGCCAGTGAGGGCTTCCTTTTCAGCCCCCACCCCCACCCTGTGTCCCAGGTATCTTCTCTGTTCCTGCACTGCCTTTCACCTGTTTTTGAAGTTAGACTTCCCACCTCAGGTCTCAAGCCTTCCCCTTGGGCCTGGCTCTGACCCAGCAGCCCTGCTACGGTTCCTCCCCTGTTCCCTTGTGCAAGTAGATTTTCAAGCTCTTCCTGAACCAGGGGCCACACTCCTTGGCCTGCTGACTGTCTATACCAACTGCTTGTCCCTCCAGCATCTCATCTTTCCTCCCTTTGCTGCCCTGGCCCAGTCTCCAACTTTTACCAAGCTGCTTCCCCTACAGGTATTCTTCCGGGCAGGCACATTAGCACGACTAGAAGAACAGCGGGACGAGCAAACCAGTAGGCACCTGACCCTGTTCCAGGCAGCCTGCAGGGGCTACCTCACCCGCCAGTACTTCAAGAAGAGAAAGGTGCTACTCTAGGGACACCCCAACCTAGACAATACAGCAGAATACCCGTGGGGAGGACACTCAGGATACATGCTGGGGAGGCCAAGGGGTTATCACCATCATCTGAGGAGCAGATGGGAACCTCCCAAGAGCACCATGTCTATGCCAGAGTGGAAAGGATACTGGTATGCCCAACAATAGGGACATGTGGGCTGGTCTTGGGGCTGACTGTGTTGCAGGAGCGTGGGGGGAAGCAGGACCCAGAGAGGCAAAGGTGAGCTCTGGATCACAGGCTGCTCTAGGAAGATTAAGGAGCTGTGTGAGCGACTCCTTTTCTTATTAGCAAGTCCATAAAATAGCTAACACTACCGCCTCTCCTGTTTCAGCAAGATTAGGTTTTATAGCACAGCTAGGCCAGGGTGCTGGAAATAATCAGGCAGCAAATAAAGCAGATGAAATTATTCCTAATGACAGTGGAACATGAGTGCCCAGTGCACTGACACCAGGGCTGCCCACCCTCTGAGGGGTCAGGTATGGGGGCCAAGGTGGGGCATGAACAGAGTCAGACTCTGGGTCAGGTAGTCAGGGGAACCAACCCAGGGGCTCTAGTGGTAGGTGGAAGTGGCTCTAGCCAGACTTGGCCAGGGAACTGAGCCCCACCATGTGCTATCCCCACCTCAACTGCAGATCCAGGACCTGGCCATTCGCTGTGTTCAGAAGAACATCAAGAAGAACAAAGGGGTGAAGGACTGGCCCTGGTGGAAGCTCTTTACCACTGTGAGGCCCCTCATCGAAGTTCAGCTATCAGAGGAGCAGATCCGCAACAAAGACGTGCGTGACCTCCCAAGAGCGGCTGGGTCGTGGGAAGGACAAGCATGTAATACAAAGGCCTTGCTGGCTTATCTTGGATTGCTAGGTGCTCTTATGTTTTGTTGAAAGAGTTGATGTTTTTGAACTATGCTGGTCAAGCAGATGTCCCTCTGGAGTATTATCTGGGTTCCTGGGTGGACTCAGGATAAAATCTAGGCATAATCTGCTTTTAGAGAAGAGTCTAGTGTCAGGAGTCTTGGGAAGCAGCTACTTTGCTGTTGGGGATGTGCCCCCACCACACACACTTTTGTCCTAGGGGCGAGAACCAGCACCCTTACTCCTTACAGTGCCTCACTTTTCTTGCTCCCCCATAGGAGGAGATCCAACAGCTGCGGAGCAAGCTTGAGAAGGTGGAGAAAGAGCGGAATGAGCTTCGGCTCAACAGTGACCGACTGGAGACCCGGGTGAGTGACGCCAATCACCATTCAGACTGGCCCACTGTCACAAACTACCCCTACCATTATCTGGCTCTGTGAGGCAGACACTTCAACTGGTGACTCCCTCCCCCAATCCCAGATCTCAGAGCTGACATCTGAGCTGACAGATGAACGTAACACGGGAGAGTCCGCCTCCCAGCTGCTGGATGCAGAGACAGCCGAGAGGCTCCGAGCTGAGAAGGAGATGAAGGAGCTACAGGTGAGGGCAGGGCCAGGGTGAAGACCTCAGGCTAGTGACTGCCACAGTCTGCTTCTCCAAAGAGACTTGGCATCTTTTCCACTAGCTCCACATCCTTGTCTCCCTGGGGTTAAGCGTGTGGTCTGTGTGGTTCAGGGCATCGGGTGGGATGAGCAAGGGGAAGAATGGCAAGCCTTACAAGCCATCTTCTTCAGACCCAGTATGATGCACTGAAGAAGCAAATGGAAGTGATGGAAATGGAGGTGATGGAGGCCCGGCTTATCCGGGCAGCCGAGATCAACGGTGAAGTGGATGATGATGATGCAGGTGGGTCTAAAGTGGAGGTTGGCAGAGTCCTGAGTGGCAAGTCCCTGGGTCATCACACACTTTATCCAGGTTTGTCTCTCCCCCACCCCCATGGGTTGTTAGAAGACTAAAGTGTAATAAACAGATGAGAAAGTAGAGGTGCTAAAACTAGGCATGGTGGTACACACCTGTAATCTCAGGTGGACACAGGAAGATCAGAAGTTCAAGGTCATCAGCTACATAATAAGTTCAAGGCCAACCTGGGATACGTGAGATCTTGTCTCAACAAACCAACCAACCAACCGACCAGGAGTTGGACCACCATGGTAATGACAATGTCTGAAGGCCATGGTCCTGGAAGTCCCTAGGGAAAAGATAGCACATGTCCCATCACCTGCCTCTAAACTTCCTTGAGCTAGTGGTTCCTTCTAGCCATCATTCTAGAAGCATTTCCAAGTTCTGGCTGACTGTACCTGCTGTTCCTTCCTACTTTTATCCTTCTGGCCCCCACTTCTTCTTGGGGATTCTCAGCACCTCTAGATAGTCCTATCTGCCCCCTACCCTACAGGGGGCGAGTGGCGGCTGAAATATGAGCGCGCTGTGAGGGAGGTGGACTTCACCAAGAAGCGGCTCCAGCAGGAGTTAGAAGACAAGCTGGAGGTGGAACAGCAGAGCAAGAGACAGCTGGAGAGGCGGGTAAGGCTGGCCAGGGAACTGAAGCCTAGCCCTGGGCTGGCTGGGCTCTGTGCTGTGTCTGCTGGTAAAGGCTCAGAGGCAGGCAGACCCTGAGAGGAACAGGGAGGTTAAATGTAGCCTGTCCTTCAGGGACAACCAGAAATTATGCTTAGTGCATCACAGCTTAGGCTCCCAAGATGTCCATGACCTTGTCATTCACCTCTGGTCTTCCCCTCACTCACCTCCCTCCCTCTCCACCAATGCTTTGGGCTTTTCAATGGCTGCTGACCTTGTACTTTTTCTTGGCCCCTAGCTTGGGGACCTGCAAGCAGATAGTGATGAGAGTCAGCGGACACTACAGCAGCTTAAAAAGAAGTGCCAGCGGCTCACAGCCGAGCTGCAAGACACCAAGCTACACCTGGAGGGCCAGCAAGTTCGCAACCATGAACTGGAGAAGAAGCAGAAGAGGTCGGTGGCCTTGCCCTGGGTTCTGGGAGCCTTCTAGAATAGTTACAGGACCTACATTTAAGCCAGAAGCCTCATCTGCATGGCCATTCATGCTGACACATGAACAGGCTCACTTCTGATCTCCAGGGAGGACTCAAGCCATGTCCTCTTGGAAGGCTGCTCCACCCACTGCTCAGATATGTTCCACCTAAAGTGGAACCTATCACCTGTCCTAGGCCAATGAGGACAGGCCTTCAGCCCAGTCCAAACCACTGGCCTTGTCTTCCCCTTGCCCCTGCCCAGCTCTGCCTACATCACTCAGTTGCCTCCACTACACAAACACACTCTCCTGACTAATGTCGTTAAACTACCGTGCCACTTCCATCTCATTATGGTAATGACACAAAGGAGGGGGGCAGCCCTCACAGGAGAAAATCCAATCTAAATTAATTTCCCTGGCTGGGGATGGGAATGGGATGCCTTTATTAGCAGCTCAGAGGAGCTCACACACCCTGAGAACAGTGGGGTGCCCCAGGGCAGAACTGTGCCTGCTTCCCCTCTTCAGGGAACCAGCTTCTGGTAGAGGTACCAGTTGCCTTTATGAAGGGCAACCTCACCCCATGACCCTGGGTATGATGAGGGCAGAACAGAGCCCCTACTCCTCCCAGTGATGAGTTACCCTGGCTATCCCCAACTCCTTGCCACTTTCCTTGCTAACTGCTGGAGGAAAGCATGGGGTTAGCAAGGTTTTCTATCCCTCCCTGAACATACAGGAAATCCGCACTCCCTCCCATTCTTTAACTCCACTCCCGTTCTTTAACTCTGACTTTTTACCAAAGGCTGGCACTCTTAATAGGGCCCCCTCCTTCTTGAGCACCCCAGTAACACAACCAGCTGGCCTAGTTACCATGTTGCTGTGCTCCCCGCTGGGCAACTTATTAGGTTTCAGCTGCCCAGAGTTTTCTTACTTTCTTCTGATGTGGGCTGGGGAGAGGGGCTGTTCAATTTCCACAGGAATCTGATTAGCTATTCAGGGAAGGTGTTAAGAGGGATTTGAACAATTTGTTTCCTATTTGGAGTCACAGGGTGGGAAATGGAAGGTTGGGAAATAGAGAAGTAAAGGAGGAGACCCCCAACTGTGTGCCCCTTGAAACACACTGCCAGCTGGGCTTGGCAGGAATGCTGCCCAACCTGGCATGGGGTATCCTGGTAGTAACCCTGATACTGCTGAGGCTGGTGGTACTGACCAGAGACAGATGCCAGAGGCAGGGCAGAAGCCAGCTGCTGTAGCAACAGTTGCTGTGAGCTACACAAGCGGGACATTCATTTCTACCCATTCTGATGCCCACTCTGCCTTTACCCTAGCCCCTTATTCTTTGATCTGTTGGAGAATATAAGAACTTTGCTCCCGAGGAGAGGTTTGGCCTGCCTTTTTCCCAGGAACAGTCTATGGGGGCCCTCTTAGACCCACTTGGTGAAGTGCTGGATGCTCAACATTTCTTCAGTAATTTGACCTGTAATCTCCAAATGCCAATGCTATGTTATCATGGCCCCACGTTATGGCTGCATGAGCCCCCCTAGCCCGGCTGATGCAGTGCCTCTATTCCTGGCATCACTTCCCAGCAGCCCCTGTGTGCTGGAGACCCAACTCTGTCCATTTCTGAGAAGGCCACCGTGCTTCCACACAGGTTTGACAGTGAACTCTCCCAGGCACACGAGGAGACCCAGCGGGAGAAGCTGCAGCGGGAGAAGCTGCAGCGGGAGAAAGACATGCTCCTGGCTGAGGCTTTCAGCCTGAAGCAGCAGCTGGAGGTATGCAGGTCTGACCTCTTTCTGCCTCATCCCCTCCACAACTTGGAGCCGTGCCAACCTTCCCTTCCCTTTTGCTCTAGGAAAAAGACATGGACATTGCGGGGTTTACCCAGAAGGTCATCTCACTGGAGGCTGAACTTCAGGACATTTCTTCTCAAGAGTCTAAGGATGAGGCTTCTCTGGCTAAAGTCAAGAAGCAGCTCCGGGACCTGGAGGCCAAAGTCAAGGATCAGGAAGAGGAGCTGGATGAACAGGCGGGGACCATCCAGATGCTGGAGCAGGTACCAGAGGGTTGACCAAGGGAAGGATGGAGGCATAGCGGAAATCTCTCACCATTAAATCAGGGTGTTGGCCAGTTCCACACTCACTCATTCATTCATTCATTCAATCATTTACTCATTCACCTACTCATAAAATGTTGAGTGAGTATCTAGATTGTGCCAGCCACAGTGTGAAGACAGTTAAACTGTAATGGAGCTTTTCATAACAGCAGATCTGGGTTGAGCTCTAGTGAGGAGGGAATCAGAAGATAGTGCAGCCAGAGGGCCAGGAGTCCAACTAGCATGTGACTAAGCAACCAAGTCAGTTCAGGGAGACCTGCCACGGGAAAACTTCAAGATTGTCTCTACCTCACAGCCTCTTCTTGGGCTTGGGCCAGGCATCTAGTAAGGAAGCACACCACAGCTTCTCTGGAGAAGCCAGCTGCCAGGAGCAGAGTGTAAGCTGGCAAAGAGAACTGTGATGGAGATGGTCTCTGCTCTTGAACCCAGGAGAGCTGCACTTCAGGCAGGACCTTATTGAGAAAAGAACCCAGTTCTGACTCCCAAACCTCTAGGCCAAGCTACGTTTGGAGATGGAGATGGAGCGGATGAGACAGACCCATTCCAAGGAGATGGAGAGTCGGGATGAGGAGGTAGAGGAGGCCCGGCAGTCATGTCAGAAGAAGGTAAGGTATCTGGGCACTTTCCAGACTGGTATAAGGATCTGTTTCTTCATCACCACTTGAAAGTAAGGGGCTTTGTTTACATCTTAGCCATTCTGTCTTCTGCTATTCTAGACCCAGGAATCTCCTCTTAGGACTCTGGTCTTGGCTGGGCTATACCTTTCAGTCTATAGAGAAGCTTAGACCCTTGAAGAACCTTTGTCTTCCACCTTCTGTGCCAAGTCACAGCCTTCACTGTCCCTTGCTGCACTCCTCTGAGGCTGCCATTGTTAGCCAGCCTAGCTGAACAGGTCTCCACACTGCATGAGGTCCAGTGTGGCTGTAGTAGCGGCTATGTGACTTACACCTCTCTAGGGTCACCCACACCCAGCCCTGCCCTACTGTTCTGGGGTGAGAGACTCAGCATGGGAGGGGACTGCTCACCCTGGATGAAAGGAACAATGAGCCTCTGCCCCACAACTTTCCAGTTAAAACAGATGGAGGTGCAGCTTGAGGAGGAGTATGAGGACAAGCAGAAGGCTCTGCGGGAAAAGAGGGAGCTGGAGAGCAAGCTCACCACTCTCAGTGACCAGGTGTGTGGGGATGCCCAGTCAGCTGCCTACCCCACAAGCCTGAGAACAGGAATCATAAGGACAGAAATCCAGGGATGGGAGGGGTGGAGGTTGACAGGGGCACTATTCTCCATCACCCAGGCCTTTCTCATTGGCTGGCATGATCCTGGTATGTTCAGTATCCTTGCTCATTTTGGGGATGGGCAAGGTGAGGATTCAGCTTGGGAAGGACTCATGGATGCCCCAGAGTAGAGCTCAATGCACTCCTGAATGGTGCCTGTGCGCCCCCACCCCCACCCCCAGGTAAACCAGCGAGACTTTGAGTCCGAGAAGCGGCTGCGGAAAGACCTAAAGCGCACTAAAGCCCTGCTGGCAGATGCCCAGATCATGCTGGACCACTTGAAGAACAATGCCCCTAGCAAGAGGGAGATTGCTCAGCTGAAGAACCAGGTACCTTTGCCCAGAGGAAGCCACTGGTTCTGTGGGCAGCCAGGGAGCTCATTTATTCAGTTAAGAAAACTGCTCATTCCTCTTGCTGGTTCTTGAATCCTTGAGAAGGAAGATGATGGGCAAGTGGGGAGGAAGCCACTTACAGCAGCCAGATTCCCGCAGGTCTGTGTATGCCCTACAGCATGACTACCAGGCCCCAGAGTGGTTTAGATAAGACTTGGAGCCTACCATCTCTGTCACTGGAGGAAAGGGAGAGGAGGGAGAGGAGGAAGAAGAGGGGAAGGGGGAGGTCTGGGCCCCTTCTCCCCTGAGACCAGTGCCCTACACAGTCCTTCTGCCCCAAAGCATGGCTGACGTTTCTCCCTGGGGTTGGGGTGGCTCTCTGTCTAGCTGGAGGAGTCAGAGTTCACCTGTGCAGCAGCTGTGAAAGCACGGAAAGCAATGGAGGTGGAGATGGAAGACCTGCACCTGCAGATTGATGATATCGCCAAAGCCAAGACAGCGGTGAGGGGCTGGGTATACAGGACAGGGCTGGGACTTAGGGGTAGTAGAGCCATGACAGGGGCTGCATTTACCCCACACAGATCCCTTTATGCCAAGGGTTTCTGCAGGACAGTAGCCCCCATCCTCTGCTTTTCCATACTCAGAGCAGAATCTTGAGAGGAGAGAGGGCTGGCAGAAGAGGAAGCCAGCCAGGGCCCATCTCCCTATTTAACCACCTGCCTGTGGGAGCTTGGCCGCAGGCCCCGAATCATAAATAAAGACTGCTAATGTGACTGAGGGATGTAAACAGGTGCCTCGAGATTAGCCGAAGCACCGATAAGAGGATGGGATGGCTCGGCTTCCTGTCCCTCCCCCTGCCCAGCCCACTGACAAGCCCAAGCGGCAGCTAATTAGAGCTTTTATTTAATGCCTCCCTTTTAATTCTCCACCTCTCCCACGGCCCATCCATCGGCTGAGAATTCACTCCTGGGATGCGGCCACTGGCACTTCCTTGGGCAGGGAGTTGGGAGGGGGGAGAAGGCTAGGTTTAGCTGTTGGCTTCATGGCCCCTAGCTGACAGTCACCCTGCTTCCGAGAGATGCCAATCTCACGGGCTTGATTTATCCTTGTGACATTTGTGCTCCTCAGCAGTTTTCAGGTGAGTAATTCAAATTCCTTAATTGTATTAAAAAAGGCTGTTATAAAATTACCATTTTATTTAAATCCGAGTTAATAAATTTCTTGGCTGAGGCTTCCCCAGCTCCCCACAGCCCAGTAACAAGATGGATGGGGCAGAGAAGGAGCCAACGCAGTCATTTTGGTTTGGAATTACAGGCTAATAGATTCATTCATTTCCTGAAACTGCTGGTGTCTGTCTTCCCCCTCCCCCAAAGCTGGAGAAGCTAGCTGACCCAAGAGTGGGCCATCCCCCAGGGATGCAAAATCCATGCCAGAGCATGTCACCAACTTGAAAGGTCCTTTCCTGGGGTTTGATGTGGGGCGAGTGCATTCAGGCCAGGGCCTAGGCTGATGTGCCAGGATGATGGGTCATTTGTTGGGCAGAATTTCTCTGCCTTCTCATTAGCCTTGAAAGAACTGCCACAAAGCAGCTGTCATTTAGCTTGGAAGCCTAGGGTCTGCCTGTCCTGCACAGACAGCCCTATCCCTCATCTCCCTGCCTAGAATCTGTCAGGTAGCTTCACTGGTTCTAGAACCTACTCCAGCCCACCATCATTTTCCTACCACACTGCCACCCCTACCTAGAAGAGGTAGTGTGAAGGGGCCAAGTTAGGACTTGCCACCACAGGGCCTGCAGATACAGGCCTGATACCCTCTGATCTGTCTCTACCTCTGTCCAGCTGGAGGAGCAGCTGAGCCGCCTTCAGCGTGAGAAGAATGAGATCCAGAACCGGCTGGAAGAGGATCAGGAGGACATGAATGAGCTGATGAAGAAGCATAAGGCAGCAGTAGCTCAGGTACCCCTGTCAGGAATGGCATTGTGGTCACCATCTTCTGGGCTGCCTCATGGGCCCCAGCCAGCCACTCCTCTGGGGAGACAGGGCATGGGAGTCTAGGTGCCCTGCCTCTTAGTGGTTAGGGGCTGGATTTGTTTGGGGGGGGGACTCTATCCCCCATGCTCTTCCCTCTTACCCAGGCCTCCCGGGACATGGCACAGATGAATGATCTCCAAGCCCAGCTAGAAGAAGCCAATAAGGAGAAGCAAGAGCTGCAGGAGAAGGTGGATACCAAGGTTTCCCTTGGGAGTGAAAGCACGGGTCATTGGGGATGAACCACTGATCATGGAGGGTGTTTTTCTCTGCCATCAGTGAGCCACAGAACAGTGTAAACTGGCAGGAAGAGCTAGGCCTAGAGCCACATCACCATGGTAGACATTTTGGCTTTGGCTGCTTCACTTCATATTTCTATTCTCTCTCTGGTCCAGAACAAGAGCTCTGCCAAGTGCTGGGGCAGATGGGGGATGTCTGCTGGGGTGGGGGAGCCTCTTCCCACCCTTCTCTGTGCATCCCTCCCTGCCCTAGCCTTCTGGTCACCATGGTGATATTGCCTGCCCCAGACTTGCTGCTACTCCCCCCGCCCCCCTTTTCTGGACTCAGTTCTTTCTTCTCTTGCTCCCTCTACCCCTAGCTACAAGCCCTGCAGAGCCAGGTGGAGTTCCTAGAGCAGTCCATGGTGGACAAGTCCCTTGTGAGCAGACAGGAAGCAAAGATCCGGGAGCTGGAGACACGCCTGGAGTTCGAAAGGACCCAAGTGAAGCGTCTGGAGGTGGGTTCAGCTTCTTGCTTGCTGCAAGCCAAGCAAAACTGCCCTAGTGCCTGGAATCACGCATGCTCCGCAGGGCTGTGCAGGCCAAGGACACTCCTCAGAGGCCTCTGCCAAGCTGCCAGGCCAGCTGATAGGGCGGGAGCTCCCCTCCCCGCCTGCCTGGCCTGCTCCCTGGGCCCCTCCAAACCTCCCTGCTTTACATTCTGGATCCATGCTTGCTTTCTGCCAAGGGACCAGAGCAGCTTAGCTTTTCGTCTTCATATTTTCCTCTGCCACAAGCTCCCCCCACCTCCTGTCCCCCTCACTCGCTCTCTAGCAGGGTCATAAATATGCAGCGGATGGCGCCACTGCTCCAAGGGCTGAAGTCTGTTCTCATCTCCTGGCTTGCTCCTCTTCTCCCCTTCCTTTTTTCTTCACTTCTTGCCAGCTCCACTTTTCCCCTTTCTTCTTCCTCTGTTGCCCTATTCTCTCTGTTTCCACTCTCCCCAATCTTGTCCCTCTTAATTACTCTTCCAGCGTCTTCATTTCTCTTCTTTCCATTCTTCCTCTCTTTATCTTGTTTTCTTTCCTTTAACCCTTCTCCCCTGTTTTGGTTGACCTCTTTTCTTCTTTGTGTTTTTATTCCTCCTTCCTCCCAATGGAATCTCCGCATTCCAGCTTAACCCCTTCCTCTTCTGGTCTCCTATAGCCAGTGTGCTCCAGCCCTCCCCGGGTAAAAGAGAGAGGCATAAGAATTGTTTATTTCCCACTTACCTGTCTTGAAGTTTCTGAGCTTGTGGACACCTGACTAAGCGCACCTGTCTAAGCATCATCAGAACTGCCTAGGATGTGCTCATTGTGGCAGCTGAGGAGCTTCCCTGTTGCTCTCCCACCAACTCCCCCGCTACCCCCATCAGCCTTTCTGTCTGCAGAGCAGGCTGTAGGAGAAGGATGGAGCAGGTGGCAGAAGAGGCCATTGAGCTGGTAAAGAGTCTGCCTTCTGGATTTGTCACTATTTTTTCTCAGGCCCCAGTTCCTTCCCTCACAGCTGAGTAGTAGGGCTAGAGCTTGGCCCAGCTTCCAGGTCCAAACCCTGCCAATAGCCCCTCTGGCTGGTTGATGGCCTACCTGCTGGTCTTTCTTCTCAACCTGTTCACCCAGAGCCTGGCCAACCGGCTCAAAGAAAACATGGAGAAGCTGACTGAGGAACGGGACCAGCATACTGCAGCTGAGAACCGTGAGAAGGAACAGAATAAGAGGCTCCAGCGGCAGCTCCGTGACACCAAGGAGGAGATGGGCGAGCTTGCCAGGAAGGAGGCTGAGGCCAGCCGCAAGAAGCATGAGCTGGTAATGCTTCCACTCCCCACGGGTCCCAAGCTGGAGGTCCCCTGAGTCATGCTACGGACACACCCACCTCACCCTGGGCTGTGAGGGAGCACTTCAATCCCAAGAACAAGCCACAGAATCAAGGGTAGCCCCAGAGTTTCCATCAGGTGAGGCCAGGCCCCACTAGCCTAGTAGCCCCTGAACAGAGAAACCTCTGGAGGCTTGGAGCAGCACCCAGGTGACTCCTGCCTGGCAGGAAGTGACTTGCTGCAGGCTCTTTCTGGGGAGCTGGGGGAAAATATGGCCGTCCTACACACTGGATGCCCCTCCTCCCCCCAGGAGATGGACCTGGAGAGTCTGGAAGCTGCTAACCAAAGCCTGCAGGCTGACCTAAAGCTGGCATTCAAGCGAATTGGGGACTTGCAGGCAGCCATTGAGGATGAGATGGAGAGCGATGAGAATGAGGACCTTATCAACAGGTAAAGGGCAGATTCTGTGGCGTTCAGGTAGAGCAAACACCTGCTTGACCATAGTGGAACCAGACCCCAGGTGACAGCTGCAACCTCTGTCATTCAAGCTACCAACCCACCCTCCCAGTGCCAGACCTGGGTCCCAGAGGCTGTGGGTGGGCTAGGTATTGGAGGTGAAACGCCCTCCCCTCCTCCCATGCTTCCTTCCCCATGCCTCCTGAGGCCCTGGCTTTCCAGCACTGCCTGTTTTCCAAGAAATATTCCCCCGTTTAGCTGCATCTCCAATGGTGCCTGCCCGACTCTGGGGAGAACAGAGATTTAAAGGCTGTGGTGCCTTGTTACTGTGCCTGAGATTTTCTCTCATAAAACCCACCCAGGGAATGGTTTTGGAGAGGGAAAGAGATTTGTAGTCCTAGGCTGAGAAGAAAGTCAGAAATTGAGAGCACTAGCAGTATGAGGATGAGACCAGGCCAGGTAGACCCAGACCTGACCTCCCCTCCACCTCCTGCCTCAGGACCAGACCTCACCCTGTGGGTAGGTCAGGGCAGCCTAGGGAGCTTGCTCCTTTGGGCTGAGGGTTAAATGCTGAGGGTAGCCCAGGCCTGGTCACTTATCTCTGCCTGGACTCAGCCAACCAGAGCTGGCCTTTACTAAGGAAGCAGAGCTGGCCTTTACTGAGGGTTCACCTCAGTGTGTCCATTGATTTTTTTTTTTTATTCCCCCCATCTGCTTCTTCTGGCCCCCTTGCCCACCATTTTCTTTCTGTTTCTAGTTTGCAGGATATGGTGACAAAGTATCAGAAAAGAAAGAATAAACTGTGAGGACCAGAGTGCATGTGCTCTCTGCCTTCCCTCAAGGGTGTCTAACCACCCCTAACAATGGACTTCCCGCCAGGGGCCCCTGCTGCATGCCGCATGCAGATACACAGCCTCCTCACACTCCCTCTTTAGCTAGTCTGTACTGCTAACACCACTGACTGTCCTTAGGAGGTGGGGAATGGAAGGGCTGGGCAGCAATGAAGTGTGTTCCTAGAAGGCCAAGCTGGCCCTCATGGCCCTGGTAGAGAGGATGATGTTCTGCCAGAAAGCATGGCCCCTCCTGAGTGCTAGCCCTTCCCTCTTTAGGAACCAAGTGTGGCCACTTCCCTGGCCTGTCTCTCTGGGGGTCATGTGTTCAGGCTAGATATGCTCACATCCTTGAACTCTGGGAACCTGAGCTACCTGAAAAGAATGGGTCTGTTTCATGTTTAAGGTCTGCCTCCTCCTCTTGGCAGAAGAGGGTGAGGGGTGTCTCATAGCTGCTTACTTGGAGAAAGCATTCAGGCAGCCAAATGCAGGCTACTCTCCTGTGTCAGGGGAAAGAAACATAACTGGTTGTGTTTACTTTGCTCCCTGAGGGCACCTGGGGCAGTGATAGTGGGGGGCTGTGTCTGTGATGGTGCTGCTTGTCAGGTGGCAGGAGGCCTAGGAAATCTGCCCCTCTCTTTTCTTTCTTTCTGGGTGGAAGCTGGACAGCAGTGCAGATGTGTAGGCCTTCAGGCAGATCCAGCTGATCCTCTGTCAAGTTCGACAGGGTTGTTTTGGGAGGTTGTTTTTTTCAGCATGGCACTGAATTTCCACCCCATTCTCTTGCCTGGCAGGCCTCCTCCCCTGGCCAGGATGGGCTGGCGGCTGTGCAAAGGACTCCGAGAGAGCTAATGATAAATGTAATAGTGTGTAACAGTGATAGAGGGCCGCTGGAGCCCGGTTGTCACACACAATTAATATCCCCCGCCGTTCTGTCTCCGTTTGTTTGTTCCCCTGTGATTCGGCTCCCAGTTAACTAATAGCACATGAGCCTGGACATAAATTGTATTTGACACAAGGTTTAATTCCGACCATTTAAAATTTCAACTGCCCCCTGAGCCTGCCTGCCCCTCGAGTTCGTTTACGGGTCTGATTATTTAAGGAAAAGAACCCGAACATTGCCTGGATATTTGCAGCTAAAGGGAAGGTAAGGCTAGGCAGGCCGGCTTCTCAACCCACAGACTGCTCTGAATGTAAGGAAGAAAATTTGTATTCTAGGACTAGACCTGTCTGTCCCTTGTATGTTCCATCCCTGCCATCCTTAGGCAGAAGGCGCTCCAAGGACTGATAAAATGCACATTTAAGATCATGTTCCAAACTATAGTCAGGTACACAGACTCGAACACTTGCGCACACACACACACACATACAAACAAAACCATGCAGTCAAAGCAGGTGCATAAAAACGTGTGATTCTAGATGGTTCTGCCAATGACAAAGAGGTAGAGTGGCTCCTTCCTCAGCAGCTCTGGACCCCAGCTTCAAGTTATCGAGCCAGCATGCTAAGACGGGCAGAAAAATAATGTTTCGATTTACTTAGAGATACAGTTGTTATTGCCATATCCTTAATGAAAGCAGTAAACAGTGCAGTATTAAGGGAGATTTATACAGAAATGCTTTTAACATGTAGACATAGATTTTGCGATGCATACAGTACCTCCTTTCTAAAGGCAATCAATATGGTTATGAACGGTGGTGATAAATTACAGGCTCTGAAGCTATAGAGGGAGGTTTTTTTGCATGGGTATATAAATCAGGAGTTATTGGCATTCCATAGGGCCCGTGAGCCATAGTAAATCTACCAGGCTTGGATGGGCACAGGGCTTTCATTAGTGGTTTTGGGGCTGCCTGCTAAACTCCTGTTTACCCGGGGCATCAGCAGTCCTCATCTTTGTTATAATTCTGTATTTGATGGAAGCCCGTAAAATATGCCTCTTTATTCCCCTCCCCATGCGTCAGGCTCTCTCATGCTCCCCAGAGCTGAGTCATGTGGTCCCCAGAGCTGAGTCTAGTGGTTTTCTCTGATGGGAATGTGCATGTTTTCATGTGTGTACATGTGTGTATGTGTGTGTGTGCCTGTGTGGCTATTTATTCATAAACATAATTCAGGAATGGGGCCACTCCTGTTGACACAGATGAAAGGAAATTTATATCAAGGAGAAATCTAAGTCTCTCCATAGCAGGGGAATTTGGTGAGCAGATATTTTGCAGAATTTGCAAAGCATTCTCACTCAGAAACCATCACCATGCCCTTGCTGCTTCATGAGGAGGTCACCATGACTCTAGCCTCAAAACTGGACTCTTTGGGGACTTTCTTAAAGGTCCTGGGGTCAGTCTGTCCAGAAGCAGCAGTGGGGAACAGGCTACCTGAAGGAAGGATAAGGAGACCTGGAGAGTTAGAACCCTGGTCTGAGACTTTCTGAGCCCAGCTGGGCTTCTTGGAACAATCTGTATCTTCAAGCCATTGCCAGATCCTCGGGCCTGGCCTCTCCTTTTCCTTTCTTTTTTCTAAGGGCCAGGGAAACCACAAGGTAAGTCTGGAATATAGCTGGTGCTTCATTAACCTAGGTTTGTGACACTACCAGCTAAGGAGAACTCCAGGTTCAACTTTAACTGAAGTCATGTGATGCCCCTTTCTTCTACCCTGTGGCTAGCAGCCCTGCTCTTATCATAAAAATACCATAAAAACATAGAAAGTGATGACAGCAGTAGCCACAGTCTGAGGTGTATCAAATAAGAAATAACAATATAAGCCTCAAGAAGAAGCCGAAGGGACTTCTTTTAAAAAATGCATTTATTTATATGTGGGTGTACATATGTATATGTGTATGCATGGGTGTGAGTATACCACAGCATATGTGTGGAAGTCAGAGGACACTATGTGGTTTCTGGGACTCAAACTCAAGCCATCCTATGTGACAGCAAGCACCTATAATCCACTGAGTCATTTCATCAGCCCTCAAGATTTCTTTTTAACCAAGAGCCATGGTTGGAATCGCTAAATGGATGGCCTGCCTGTCATTCTCTTCTGGTTGGCCAGATGAATAGCTTGTACTTGGATTAAGGGGTACCTGTGTGCTCCTCAGGGTCTTCTTAGTGCCTATCACACAGTATGGTCTGCCAAATGGAGACAGGTTCCTTGTAGGTGGTGTGCTCATTCTAACCTCTTTGTTCTCCCTCACTGACCAATGTGTATGCCACCTGCACTCCACCTCTGCCTAAGATGCACCTTGCTCCCCTTCCTGCTGTCTATCCTGGCCAACAGGCAATCCCCATCTGCCTGGCTTTGCCTACCTTTTTACTCAACAGTGAGGGGGACTCAGATGTGGACTCAGAGCTGGAGGACCGGGTCGACGGGGTCAAGTCCTGGTTGTCCAAGAACAAAGGACCTTCCAAAGCAGCTTCTGATGATGGTAGCTTGAAGAGTTCCAGGTGAGCTGTTGTCCTAGAACTAGAAGAAAAAGCCATCCAGTCATGGTTGGTCAGTGTCTTAGCACCAAGAGGGCAGGCCTTAGGCCATATGGTTGCCTGTTGAAAGAAATAGGCCAGCTGCTTAGCCAGGCTCTATGTCTATTTCCCAGATAACATTTCCCTGTTTGGGTCTGGGCTCTTGTATAGGTTTAGCTTCATCCCCAATTGCCCAGTCAGCAACCATCTAACCATTGGTACCCTTTGAATCAGACTAGGGTAGGGCACTGGGGGCTCTGGATCCTATAGCCCTACACAGGGCAGCCCTGGCCAGCTCTGGATCTCTGCCATCCTCAGGAATAGTGATGAAAAGGCACTGCTTCCCCACAGGTCCTGCCATAGCTGCAGTCGCATTTTGTCTTCCTCTGCCTGCTCTCTGCTTCCTCTAAGCTTTTCGCTGCCCCTGCGCTGGCTCTCCTGACACTCCCTGGGGGGAACCTGCTCCCCTACTTTCTAGCTAGTCATAATCTTCTGATCATACAGACAACTGCCTCTGGAAGCCAGAGCTCCCACTTTTCTTTCACTACTGGGAGGCAGAACTAGCCCAGGCTACCTTACTCCTAAGGCCTCTTCCCTGTACTCCCTCTCACAGAGTCTCCCACCCCTTTCATATCCCTCTAGAAATAGTAGGTGGTCTTAGTAGAAAAAGTAATCGCTCTCCCTCTTCTCCAATGCCCCCAGGTCCCTTCCTCAAGGCAAGCCCCTTACCACCAGCACCCAGCAGCCCCCTGTAATTGGTTTAATTTATTCGGCCAAACAACATTTTGTTATTGCAGATAATGCCGCCTTTCCCGCCCCACTGCCGTTCACCACAGTGTGGCATAAGGCTCCAGGTAGTTGACAATGAAATAAATTGAACTAAACGTTTTAGAGGGGGAAAAGTGATGAAATAGAACAATAGTCTAATTTACATGACATTCTCCATGAAGCTATTTTCACTGACGCAAATTATTTTGCTTCATTTCCTCGGATGCTCTCACCACCACTTTGCCAGGGCTGTGTGTTTCTCCTCCTCCCTCCCCTGTGTCTTTATTCTCATTAATGCTTCTGTCTCTCTCTCTCTGTGTCTCTCTCTCTCTGTTGGCTGCCCTGCATCCACTCTGGGTTCTTTCCTCCTGGGCCTCCTGTCCTACCCAGGACGGCCCTTAACAACCTCCCTAAGGAGGGCAAGGGTCCAGAGGAGAGACCCTCCTCTGCACTCAGCTCCCTTAGCTACCGAAAGCGGCTCACCCTGAAGGACTCCATCGGGGGCACGGGGGACCAAGACTCGCTCCTCACCACCCTGAGTGAGCGTGCCCCCTCCCCCGAGAGACCCCCCAGGAAGGCCCGGGTGGGCACCAGGGAGGAGCCCGGACAAGCCCAGGGCAGGAGGTCTGAGGAGCCAGGTGATTGCGGCTCCATCTTCTCGGAGGCTGGGAGCAGAACCGGCCGGGGGCTGGAGAAGCGATGGGGGTCGGACTTCGACAGGGCCTCAGCGGTCTCGGCGCCGGTCAGCAGGGCCTCCTCGGCCACGCGGCGAGGCTCCAGGGAGGACGGTGCCCGCTCCTCGCTGAGCTTCTCACTGTCAGGCTCACCCAGCTCCCGACGTAGCACCTCCAGGCTTGACAGTCTATCTAGGACCCTCAGCCCTTCCTGGAGCAGGGCCCCGGGCCTGAGCAGAGGGAGCCCTGACTCCCGCCTGTCCCTCTGCCGGAGCTGCCTGGATGAGTGGGATGACGGAGCCAGTGTGGCCCTCAGCGAGACACATTCACAGTACAGCCACCCATCGCTGGCCCGTAGCCTGTCCGTCCCACCCCAGCCCGGGGGCTCGTCCTCAGCCTCTACCGCCGATGAGCCGGTCAGCTCCAGCATCCGGCCAGTCAGCCGTCACTCCTACCTGGACCCAGACCTGGAGGCTGCCATCAACGAGGTCTTGAGCTACAAACCCGTGCCATTCCAGAGGAGCAGCCTGGAGCCTGACTCTGAGGACGACGACCGGAAGAGCATTCAGAGTGCCCGGAGTGTACAGCTGGACCTTCCAGAGAGAGGCACCAGCGTTCGACGCTCTGCATCAGCTGTGGATGTCTCTGGGTCGCGCAGTGACCGCAAGAGCCGGAGCAAGCGCAGGAGTAGACGGAGCAGCTCCAGCTCCAGCTCTGAAGATTCCTCCGAGCCCAAAAGGCGGAGGAAGGGGCGCTCTCGGAAGAACAAGAAGTCCAAATCAAGAAGAAAGAAAACAGAGACAGAGTCTGAGTCCTCATCATCATCCAGTGGCTCCACAGTCTCAGGCCATAGCCGGTCCAGCGTGAAGAAGGGCCCAGCTGCAGACAGCGAGGAGGCTGGGCAGGCACCCCGGAGATCGAAGAAGGAGGAGAAGAAGCGTAAAAAAGAGGTGGACAGCCTGATGATGCGCTATCTGTACCGGCCAGAGAGTGACTAGCACAGTAGGTGGCACCTGTTGTGGAGTGTAGCATGGTGTGCCCCACCCAGTGTGATCTAACATCTCCCTGACCCAACAACCACCACCTCAGGCTCTACCTGCATCTTCTTGGGTCAGTCTAGCCTCAGAGAGCGTCCTGGCTGCTACTTTGGAGAACTGGGATCTTCAAGGCTAGTCCTTCTCTTTGAGGCCTGAGCCCAGGCAGCAGATTGAAGCTCCAACCTCCCCTGAGCTAGAGACCAGCCTCCTGTGCTGTGTTTTACGTGCTAATCCTCACCATAACCCCACAACAAAGGTCTGATCAGCTGTTTCATAGACAGAAAGCTGAGGCTCAGAGAGGTTAAGTCACCTTCCAAGGTCACACAACTGGGAAGTGATGTTGCTGGGAGCTACTGGGATCGTCTTAACTCTAACACCCTTGACCTTAGCCACTTCTCAAATAGCTGAATGCAAAGCGTGTGGATGACACATAGGTGTCACACATCCCCCGTTTCAGAGCTTTCATACACCAGGCTGGGCCTAGAAAAGGGTCCAGACTGACATGACACCTTAGCTGTGAGTTGGTATGTCAAGGGCTGCTAGCTATTATGAGGCCTTTTGCTCTGTTCTCCCCATTTGTGGAGCCACCTTCCTCCCAGGCATAGATCTCAAGCTGCAGCCCACACTGTACCACACCCTGCAGTAGACCCAGGAGATGCCTGATGCCTCCCCAGCCCTCCCACTCACTTGCAGCCCACACATGGGTGTCACCTCAGCTCTGCTCATCTTATAAGGTTCTAATGAATAGAAATTAGCAGCTGCTGAGTGACAGCCCCCTCCTGGCTCTCCTGCCTCCTCCAGATCTTCTCCCTGTGGGGAGGGAGATGTAGCAGTTAGGCCCTTGTGCCCACACCTTCAGAGGAAAGAGAGACAGAACCTGACTCATTGGAATCCCATTGTTGCCAGTTTCCCTGGTGGGTGGTGACATTTTTGGATCACCCCTGTTGAGAGGTGGTGTGAAGCATTTTCAGCATGGACCCTCCCAGGGCATGCTTGCTTCTTCCCAGGAGGCACAACCTCAGAGTGCAGCCCCCTGGGGCAACATAACTGTTTCCCAGATGCATGAACTAATACATCTGTTGGCATGCTTGTCAGCTGGTGGATGGACTACACCAAAAGGGGCCCATTGAAGGTGGCCTGCTTCAAGGAATGAAGCAAGAGGAACCTACCTGTGGCCATCTGGAAATGGGAGAGGAGAAGGGATTGGAGAAGTGAGGTAGAGCGGTAGCACTTAAATACAGACCAGGCTGGTGGCCAGCCCATTTCTCAGGCTTGAGCTTTGAAACCACCGCTTGATCTCAGCACTGCTCTGTCATTTCTCCCGTGTGGAAGATGGTTGCAGGGTGCTCTAGGGAAAGTAGGAAGCATCTGTGGCCTTTGTCGGCTCCATGGCTGGCAGGAGGGGTGGAGGTGGGCAGTGGGGAGGTAATACAGTCAAAATATTTGGTCTGTGATTTCAGCCTCCCTTTAGCAGCCTTGCTTACTGCCTTGTACCCCAGGTCAGGAATTCAGTTGGTAGATAGAAAGGGAAATCTAGAAAACAGAGAAGGCCAGGCCTCTCTGCCCACTACACCTCTCCCCAGAAGGAGGCATGCGCCTCACTGGGCTTTCCCAGACTGGTGACTAGCAGATTTCAGACTCCAGTGTCTCCAGCTCCCCGACATCAAACAAGAGTGAGACAAAGCCTGTTTCTGCACCCCACCCCCAGCTCTGTTGCTTTTGTCTACCAGGAAAGCGGATTAAACCTAAAACCCTACACTGTGCCCCACTGAGGATTGGAGTCACTGTTGGTAGAGTGACCCCCAGCCAAAACCCAGCCAACCACCTCATAGCAGGAAAAAAAAGGCAGGGGCGGGGTAGAGGGAACCTCACTGGCACCCACCACCTTTGGGCTCAATATGGTGTCAAGGATGGGAGTAGGGTAGGAACAGAGCCAAATTTTGGCTTCCTACTTGGGGAGAAGGACCAGTAGAGAATTTCCAATGCAGCATCCTAGCAAAGTCAAGGGGAGGGGAGTTGCACCCTGGCTCTCTCAGCAGGAATTACCTTGTGTACCAAATTGTGACAGCACTGAGCAGGAGACACTGACTTGTTGGGAGGAAAGCTTTTTAAACAATTTGGTTAAAAAGTTCCAATTGCCAGCCCTGACTTTTGCCCTGGGGAGGAGGGGAGCTGCCTGTTGTTGGCTTACTGATGGCTGAGGTCATAGAAGCCACTTTGGAGACTGTCCAGAGAGAACACAAAGTAGACAGCAGAGGATCTTGTGGATCCTCAGTCCAGGGAAGAGCAAACCACAGAGCTTGCCCCCTCCTCAGATGCCTCTGCCTGCCTCTGTCTGTACTCAGTGTTCTGATGCAAGAGTGTAAAAACTTGGCTGGTGTTTGCCTGTGTCTGAAATATGGAGGCTGGAGCCCCCTGTGAAGAGGTGAGAAACAGAAGTAGCAGGTCACACAGGGCTGGACTTTCCAAGGGTAAGTCCTTGGCATCTGGAGCCCATCCCTGGCATCTCCCATGTGCCCATGAAATAACCCCCACTGTCATCCCTCAAAGCCTAACAGCAAACATTTAGCACTGGGTGTCCAGAAATCCTATGTAAAAAATGAAAACAACTGGCTCCCACTAATTCAGGATTCAAGCACCCCAAGGCTACAATGACCCCATTTTTTTCTGTATTGCACAGTTATTGAGTTTTATAATTTTGTCCCAGAAATACTGCCAGACTGTAAGTGCCTCTGGCCCATCAAAGTAAGATTCGTTTATGTTCCGTCTAGTCTGTATTGTGTTTTGTGCTATTCTGATTCCTTTAAAAATGGTAATTCATTCATGAGAAATACAATAACTATTAACCAGACTGCCCTATTGCTGAGCCATTTTATGTAATTGAACATATATTCTCTCAGGCTCTTCCTTCCCCCCCAGGGACAAAGAAATCTATCTTTATACACCCTGAGCCCTCCCCTGGGCCAGCAGGAGACTTCAGGTTTGGTCTTGTTTTCTTCTCTGGCATCTAATCTAGTCACAGAATATCCTAAGGCAGAGATTCAGGTTCAGGGTTAGGTTTAGGTTTTGGCTCTGTGACCTCTTTGAACCAGCTTCCTCATAATATTTCATAGGGTTGCTGGGAAGAATAAGACAGTACAATAATATCTAGGGGGCATGGGCAGTACCTCACACACAGGAGGAGCCAGTGGTTGAATCCTTTCTTCTGTGGGTCTCACTAATACCTCTGGGGAAACCTAAGAATATGGTTCTTTCTCCTAGAACCCTGTTTCTTCCTTTTATTGTTTGGACCTAAAACTTTAAAAGGACCTGTAAATAAAGAGCCTTCCTCAGAATCTTAAGTCAGAATAGTAGGCCTGGGGATTGTAGAAACTCTCTAGGACCTGAAGGCTGGGCTATGTCCCTCTGTCACTCAGAGTACAGAGGAGAGCCGCAGTTTCAGGGACCTGGCTATGTACAGAACACTGGTAGGGGTGAAGCCATGCTGGACTCTCTCCTCTGGTGGTATTAGATTATAGTGCACTTGAACAGAGACAGTGGGGACAGGAGAGGGCTTCTAAGCTCTGGGAAAGAAGAGTGTGAATGGAACTGGAAGATGAAGTCCTATCCCCAAGGTAGATGCCACAATGGCACTTCCTCCAGAGGATAATGCTTCATATCTTTGGGGACACTTGGAGTCTTCTAGAGCCAGAGGCCTGATGAAGATTCCAAGGGGTTAAGGGCTTTTCCCATTGCCCCCTGCCCCCCAAACAGGTCTTGCCAGCCCCTGCTTCCTGATCTTCATTCCTTTTCTAATAGAAGATGGTCAAGTGCTTGCAGGCCTAAGGGAACCCTAGCTAGGAGAAAGTTCAGATCTGGGAGAATTCAGTGGAGGCAGAGCTTCCTTAGAAACAATCCTGTCAGGAATAACTCGCCCAAATCTCCTCCTTGGACAAGTAATCAAGTAGTCACCAGCCTTGAATCTCCATCTGTGTAGTTCATGGATGGCCTGCATCAGAGGAAGACAGCTGAAAACACAGAGTGCCTGGGGTCCTCCCTCACTGACCAGTCCGAGCATCTAAGGAAAAGAAGCCAGGAATATGCAGGCAGTTCTTCAATTCACAGAAGCCGGACCTACACCGCCTCTAGCCTCCCTGTCCTGGTTTTTGAGTGCAAACTATGTTCTTTCTCTAACTATATTGAGTATCTCCCTGAGGACCCTAGAAGGGCGTTGACCTAGCAACATTTGGTTTTTTAAGTGCTCTAAAAGATCCTTGGTGCCCCAGGGTGGAAGTATCTTGGCCTTGACCTTGCCTCTCTCTCCCTGCAGCCCTACCAGCCACTGGAAATCCCTCGCCCCTGATCTATCAGATGATGAACATGACCCTGTGGACAGCACCTCCAGACCCCGATTCACCCACAATTATCTGAGTGACAGCGATACAGATGCCAAGCTGACGGAAACCAATGCATAGCCCAGGGCAGTGGCTCACTGCCCTCCCCACAACCTCTCCCAGGAAATGGGGGGGGCACTGCTGTCCGCCCCATCTGCATGGAAAACACCTCAGCCCTCTCTGTCGGGGACTTTCCAGGCTGTGTCTCACAGCTGGAAGAGGTGGGGGAAAGAGGAGTTTCTTCAAAGAGAACTTTGACTCCTCCCTGCCTCAGAAATGCCATGCTATTGGCTTCTACTGTGGGCCGTTGCAGGTGGCCTGGCACTGCATGGAGCCAGCAGTGGACCTTCATCTCAGCCCCCTGCTCAGGGATGGTGGATAGGTTGCCTGCTGGGCCACTCCCAGCTGCAGGGGGTGGGGCATGGGGAGGAAGGAGCAGCAATGCCTCCTCTCTGCTGGGGTGAGGGCTTTCTCTTCTCAGTGCCTGCTGTCTTTTTATTTTTTAATTTAAATACCCAAACCATGCAGCTGCATCCCTGAGAGTGGGAGGGGCTGCCTTGGCAGCTGGGCCCATGGGACACCTCGGGAATCTCCATCTTCACTCTTTCTGAGGTCCTTTCTGGTGCAGGCTACAGCTGGGGACACTGGTGAGCAGAGCTGATTCTCAAGAATCAGGGTAGGGATTGAGGGGAGGGTGACCAGGTGCTTCTGGCTTGGGCTGAGTGAGCCTCCTTGGAATGTTAAGTGCAATGACCAATTACTTAAGAGCAAATCTGTTCCACCAGCACCAGTTCTCAGCTTTCTAAACCTTGCCTTCCTCACATCCACAGTGCAGCCAGCAGCTCACTTGGCACTGAGAACTTGTGTGCACAATGGGAGGTGGATGTTTTAAAAGGTCGTGCTGGTATATATCAGACCCAAGTCCTCACCCTGTGTCATCTTCATCTGCCCATCTCCTCATCCCCACACACTTACCCAAGACAGCAACAAGTGGTCTGGAAGACCCAGCTACCCCTACAAACATTATCACACTGACTCCACCAGACTTGGGGGCTCAAGGGCAGTACCTGGTGCTGCTCCTGTCTGCAGTCCCCCTTCCTTCCTGCAATTGAGTTTGTACTCACTGGGCTGTGTTCTCCCTGTGGACCTGATTGATATAAGGAAATAAAGGCCCTTTTCCTCCTGGCCATGTGTTTCCCTGCCTTTCCCTATAGGCCGAGGGGAAGTCCAGGGTGGTCCCAGCATAGGGACAAAAGTAGGATTCTAATGGGGATGCAGAGGAGCCATCTTGGTCTGTGGCCTGTTCTCATACCAGACCAAAGCTACTCACAGGGCCTTAGCAAGTCGCTTGAGGTAGTGGGCAAGAGACTACTTGGTTAAGGAAGCTAGAACCCTCACATTTATATTGAAAATTAGTAGAGCTGGCAGAACCCTCCCTCCCTGACCCTCTTCCTCCCTCTCCCTCTCTCCTTTCTCAGAACTTTAGTTACTCCAAAGGTTAC